CTTCTTCCCGCCCGGCCGCTCTTGGAAGGCAAAGCTCAGCGCGGGCTGTCTTCCAGGACCATCGAATGCGGATGACGTGGTTGGCTCGAAGTTTAGCAGTGTGCGGACAAGGCGAGCGTCGTCGCCGTGTCCGCGGTGCGGCGGCCAGGCCATGGGGCAGGCCGTCTGGCTCACGACCGCCCTGTCCTGGTGTCGGCGCGGACATCGCGACTCCCCTCGCCCTCGGCCCGAGGGTTATGATGCAGGCCGCGGCGTGGCGGTGATGACCGCGTTCAGCATCCTATCTGCGCTCACGACGCGCTGCCCGCGCTGGCTACCTCTACACGGCCCGGGCGCGGGGCCCGGCGGGGCCGGCGAGGTGTGAGCCGGGTCACACCGTTATGCACGCCACACTGTTAGTTCGGTTGGGCCGTTCTCGGAACAGGCGACGCCGCCGACCCTTCTGTCTCTCTCGCACCCGCACGGAGCGCGCCCTGGGTGCGAGAGAGACAGCGGCGCTGCTCCACTGCGATCCAGTAGGTCCTGGAGGCTAATGAGGCGAGGCGCGAGCGCCCACGCACAGCGCCATCTAGCGGGCAAGGGCCGAACTGGACCGCGCACAGTGGGCCAGGTTGGGCCGATGCCACTGTGGACTCCGTCGCCGGAAAGGGACGCACACCGTAGGGCCCCAATCGGCTCCTCGTTCAAAGGGCAGTCCATTGGCATCCCCACGCGTTCTATTCGCGCCTTCCCGAGGACTGCAACGCTCTCGAAATGTATCTCGAGTGGAGGCGTACCCGCCAAAACGGCCGCGTGGCCCCGCACGCACACTGGCGGGCTTCGTCGGCGACCTCAACGCGCGGCGGCGTGGAGAGCGTCGTTGCGACATCCGCGGCGCGGCGGCGGCGCGCTGCTGCAGGTGCGGGGGCGCGGACGGCGGGCCGCTCCCACTGCACACCGACCAGGCCCCCATGTCGGTCCACGGAACGCCGAAAGGCCCGAAAGGCGACGTCGTACGTCATAATCCGCCGGCCCTACCCTAATCCGCGCGTGTCGACACGCCGCGTGTGTTCTCCTGGCGACGATGTCGCAATGCCGTCGTGACATTTTTCAGCGACAAAGATGGGCCGTCCGAGCGAAAGCGGGACGCGCGCGATGGGGCAGGGCAGAGCAATTCGATAGTAATCGCGATCTTCGATAGTGGCTGAGCCTAATTCGGAATGTGTGTGTGTGTGTGTTTTCGTCTGTGTCTCAAGAGTGTTTGGTGTGGTGTGTTTGTGTGTGTGTGTGTGTGTGTGTGTGTGTGTGTGTGTTTGACCTGGCCGGCGCCTTGCGTCACGGCGTCAACCATAGGTCAGGGCGTCGGCGCGTCGTGGAGGTGGTGCGGCAAGTGCATCAGTGACGTCGTCGTCGTCGTCGTTGTCGTTGGAGGAGGAGGTCCACAGTGGATCCGTCGTGGTTCGCTCCGCTCGGCTCCGCCACTGGACATGGTTTCCGTTGCCGCTGGACAGGCAGGTGCTTTTGTTGCTGGATGGAAAGTGGTTGTTGTTGTTGTTGTTCGCGCTTGAACAGTTTATTTTTCTTTGTGCGGCGCCGGCACGCGCGAGGCTCCACGCGTAAAGGTGCGTTACGGGACGGGAGAGGGGGAGGGGGGCGGGGGAACGCCTGCTCGGCCAGTTCGGCGCGTGCGCATCGCGTACCTGGTTGACGACAAGGAAGCTACACCGGAAAGCGCGGGAACCGAAGTGCCGCGCGCAAATTCAGTTTGTCGTGAGTTCGACTCGCTGCTGTCCAGGGTATGGATTGCATGCATTGTCGAACAGCAAGCGAGGAAACTCCGCTGAATTCACAATTTAAGTTCCAAATAATTGTAAAAACTTTTTTTGGATTTTTTTTTATTTCGCAGTGTATTGGCCCGCATGTGGTGTGATCCCGCGCAGCCTTGCGCACGCGTTCTCTCCGTTTTGGACTGACGAAATTCCGTGGCCGTTGCGGTCCGGGATGGAAAGTGGGTGTGCACACGACGCGCCACGCCACTGGCACGGCACGGCGCGGCCCGCCAGAACGAGGTCGGAGATTATTACTGAAAAATCGGACGCTCCCATCGCCGTGATTCGGATTCACGTTCGGCCGCCGCTACCGCCGCTTCGGTGTGGGACGTGTCCGACGAAACGTTAACGACGCCGATAAGCCGGGAAGTCAATCCGCTTTGCCGACCGTTAATTTTCGTTTACGTATTCATCGCCGTTTTGCCGGGCCGGTCGGTGCGTGGCGTGGGTGATGTAATTTGAGGCCCTGCGTAGCGCTGCGGCACAGGGGCCACGCCAAGTCGGTTCCCGGAGCGTCTTTTATGCCTCGTTCATTAAACCTCGTCGACGGGTCAATCTCAGCCAACGGGGTGTACGGAGTCGGGGTGTCACTGCAGAGGGACCTTAGTCGCTCGACACCGCACAGGAACTACTGTCTTTGTAAAGACACGCACACTCAAAATAATTTTAACCGGTTGTATGTACTCCGACTCGATCGTTGTGAACGCCGTCCTTTTCTGACAGCAGCCCGCCGAACGCCGGGCGACGGAAAGCCTCTAAAAATGGATCCGGCCACGTATTATTTATTCGTCAATCCAACGTAAACGAGATCAGGAGTCTTTACTCCCTAGGCTTTAGCCCTATAATTTAGTCGATGGATTATTATCTATCACGCATTCATTTGGTATTTTTATTTCTTCTTTACCGTCCCGCTCCCGGAGCGATGGAGACGCAGGCATTGTGACTCGAGACGGTCTAATTACGAGATTTTTACGAGCCTGCCTTACACTGTGTGTGCGTATGCGTGTGGAAAAGGGGGAAGGACACCTGTCCGAAACGCGGCGCGAAAACGGCAAACCAGCAGCGCGGTCCAAAAACGGTCATAGCGTGTCATGCTCGACCATGCTCGCTGGCCACGCCGACGGGGGACCCCGTGTGGGCGTCGCGGCTCGACTTAGCGCATTAGCGACTTGGGCCACACACACACAGACACGAGCACGCACGCGGACATGGCCAATAATGGCACCATATACGTGCAGCCATTACTCATCGCCACCGCGCACCGCACCGCGTGTAGGCCGTCCCCGGAATACGGAGGCGCGGCGCAGCTTTCCAGGAGAGGGTTTTCTATATTAATTGGGAAAGGGGAGACGACGGCGGCGGTGGTAGCGCAAAGTTTGGCTCGGCGACCACGCCGCCGTCAAGTCGGACGCACGCACACGGACGCACGCAGCACGACGACGACGACGCGGATGGGAGTGTTCGAGCGCGGCTTCGGGTACTTTGTCACTTTGTATTGACAATGCGCGTTTCGCGTGCCGCATAGATGTATTTGCACGTGCCGGCGCACTCGCCGCGCGGATTGCGGTGTGTGCGTGTGTGTGTGAGAGAGTGTGTGTGTGTGTGAGTGAGTGTGCGAGAGCGCGCGGGCTTTGACTGATCGGCCAAGTGAGACCTGTCGCTGGCGATCTCAATCGACTCGCGTATACGGCAACAGGTAGTCGTCGTGGTCCGCGGGGCGTGGCGCGGTGCTAAATCAAGCCGTCGTGGCGGCGAGCGTGGCTGGCGACAGGAGCGACCAGCCTCTCGGACAACGCGGCCGAGTGTATGGCGGCGGACCGCGGGGACAATTTTCCTATTTGCACCGCGGCCAAGTCCTGCCGCCTCTGTTTTGCATGCCGCGCGGGGCGGGGGGGGGCGGGGCCGACGGCGAGCAGGTGCGTGCGTTCGCCTCTGGTGACGGTATGTGCACTGCAGGCTGAAGAATCGTGGGGCCTTCCGACGGCATCGCTCGGCAGGGTGCGCGCCCGGAGTTTTGATACCGATTGAGTCTGAGCTGCGCGTCGTTCGTCCCTGGCTCGGATGACACTGCCGTGGGCACTGCTCTGGCGCGGCACTGCACTGCAAAGGACGCCCATTTAGCGAATTTGTCGCGGCAAATGGCGCGGAACGGGAAGGCCAGCCTCGAGCCGCTCAACGCAGAGCCGAGCGGCGGCGCGGCGGAACGGCCAAAGGCAGCCAGAGGCGAGCAGCGACCTTGCTCCACGCCCTTTCTGCCACCGCGGAGCCCAAGCTCGCCGTCTCTCTCGCACTCACGGGGCCGTCCGCGTGGGCGCGAGGAGAGGCACTGGTCAGAGGGCAGGCCTGAAGGGACCCGCTGTCAGTGCCACATCCTACCCGCAAGGCTCCTCCCTTGCCTTCGGCCCTGTGGGGGACCGCCTGGGACAGACCGGCAGCCGGCGGTGTGTCCGGGACAAGGTGCGCGACGCAGACTCAACACGGCGAGGAGGGTCACGCCTGTGAATAGAGCCCCCGCCAGTCCGTGCGGGCGGGTGGCGGTCGAGAATGTTGAACAGTTACCACCGACACCGAGCCGCCCAGCCTGGCCCGGGCCGCCGAGCTGGTCGACACACCGGCCGCCGCGGCGCCGCACCGTGGCGGCCTGGCCTGGCGGGGCGGCTCTATTCGAAAAATGACTCGGCCCGCGTTTCACTACTTGTTTGACGTAGGTCAGGTCCGTGTCGTACTTATCGCAAGGGAAAGGGAAGTCCGTTTGACACGACGACCGCCTGTCTGTCTGTCTGCCTGACCGTCCGCCCGCGTGCCCGGGCACTCGTCTTTGCTTTCTATTTCATCGACACACGCTCACTCGCACGCGTTGCCGTGTGTGTCTGTGTCCCGATCGCCTTCATTTGGAACGCGCGCGCTTTTGACACAATGCTGGAGTCTCGCGCCGCAAAAGCGTGTCTGTGTGTGTGTGTGTGCGTCTGTGTGTGTGAGCGGAGAGAGAGGAAGCGACCCTTCGCCTTTTCACCCACCGCGGAGTGGAATGCGCGCGAAAATTTCACTTTCGGTTTGGGCATAAGCGCACGATAGTAAAAGTGGAAAGGAACAGAAGCGCGAGCATGCGCCATGCAGGCGCGGTGATTTAGGGCCCGGCCCGGCCCGGCCCGTCGGCGTCGTCTGACCAGTGGCGCTGTTTTGTTGTTGCAGGTGCGAGAGCTGGTGGAGCGGTGCCAGTGCCCGACGCAGTTCCCCATGATCAGGGTGTCCGAGGGCAAGTACCGCATCGGCGACACCAAGGTCCTCATCTTCGTCAGGGTGAGTCAACAGCAACACATCCTGGCCGGCTGACCCTGCCAAAGGAAAAGTCTTTTGGCTCCGACTGTCCGAGGGCGGCGGGGCCCGGGCGGGGCGCGAACCCACAGCCTGCCTGCCGGCCGTAACGACGTCGACGAGGCGACAATGCCCCCATCAGGGTCCTGGACACAGTGCACCTGCCGCGCGGCCCAATAAACAGTGCGTTGTTAGCGCTTGGCACAAATCCCCGGCGCAATGCGCGTCGCGGCGTCGGACCGCCGCCCATGCCTCCGAGATTGTCCCCTCGGTCATGTCGCTAGCCGATAGTCCACACCAACGCCGTTTTCCCGGGGAGTGATGGCTTCCCGTCGCGGTCGCGTAGCGCGCGGCCGCGGAGTGGGGAACGCGGGGCGTAACCTGCGCGTTTTTCGGCCGTCCTCGCCGCCCCCATGGTCCACAGGTCCTCTGGCCCACTGTGCCCCGTCCGAGCCCTGCCGGCTGTTTGTTGGCGGCAAAGGCGCGTCCTCGTGGTCCGGCATGGGGTCGCTGGCATTCAGGGCGCCGCGCCGGCCTCGATGTCCCCGATGATGTCGTTATTTCATCGATGGGACAATGTTGCAGAACGCAGGGCTGGCGGGTCCGGGCGGGTCGTTACGGCCCCGGGGCGGCTGGCTGGCCGGCTGTGCGGCCGGGCGGCGCTGACAGGCTCGCTCCGCGGTCGTGCCCTTTGCTTGTCTGCCTTGCCGGGCCGGCTGCAGCCGCTGAAGCAGACGACGCTGCTTGCTTGCTTTTGTCGGCGCATCAAAAAGGGAATCGGTCATCAAACTGCTTTGCCTGGCGGTGCCTGGCGGCCTGGCGGGGCGGCGGAGGGCTTTAGTGACATTTTCTCGTCATCCTCGCCCCACCCCACCCGGCCCCGCCGTTGCAGACGCGGGGCCGTCAGCCGGTAAAACGCGCGTAACTGGCGGCCACCGCGACGTACTTGCGGGGGTCCTGGCGGGGCGGGGCGGCGCCGCGCTGGGGATATCCTTGTTGGCGGGGAAGGTCACAGGTCGGCACGGCGCGCGCGGCGGCGGCCAGACTTGCATGGACAGCTTGGGGACAAGTTTCACTTTCCGGTCTTAATGCTGACAACGTGCAACGACGTGCAACGTGCCCTCCGTGGGCTACACTGCGAACGCCTTGGCGCCGCGCGGCCGCGCCCCGCGTCCTTTCCTCGTTTTTGCAGTGGCGCCGCCCGGGGCGTCCGCGCCAACGGCCACGCCAACGGCCACGCCAACGGCCACGCCAACGGCCACACCAACGGCCACGCCGGCGTGGCGCCGGTGACTCCTAGGAGGCGTTCCCCGCGCGGAGAGGTACTGGTAGTGGTAGCGAAGTGTGACCCAGTTTGGTCTCCGTCCGACACGGCGGCAGTATCGATTTTAAATCGGGTTTCCGCCACCGGGGGCGCTGCGCTGCGTGCGCCAGCCACAATCTCGCTGCGGCGCGGTAAGCCGAGTCGCCTTTAATTGAGATTAAGACGCGCCGCCGGGCGGACAGAGTCGTGAGTGTGCGTGGGTACACTGTGATTGGCCGTCCCTCATCACCATCACCAGCGCGGTTATCGTTATGTTAGTCGACCTGGTCAAAGTGGATAGGAGACGCCCGAGCCAGGGTCGCCCCGCCGCAGGAGCTGACAAAGGTGCCTGCGTGTGTGTGTGTGTGTGTGTGTGTGTGTGCGCCATTACAGCCAATTAGTCTGCTGGTAATGAAGTCTTCATGGCGCTGCTGCCTCGCACCGCGTTGAATTAGATTAGTGCGGTGTGGCGGTGGGAAAAGGCCAGCTGGTGCCGGAAAGCGACTCCAACTTTTCGTTTTTCCATTTGGGGGTTCAAGGTCAGGGGGAAAGAAAGTGTCCAACGCGTGGCGCACGCGAAGCGACTGCTAAATTTGGTGTGCGCCGCGGATTAGCTCCGGTATTAAATTTCCAGGATTTTTAGAAATTTGTGGTAATTTCGGATTTGCCGTCAGCCGGATTACCCGAGTCGTTCTCCCCGTGCGCGCGCCGACCGCGAGGAGGACGGTGATGACGTCGTCGGCGTGCACGGACGCCCTAAATGACGGCGATCTCGGCAATCAGATTATCTCGACATGTGTTTACACGCGTACTTGCATGAAACCGCATCCGCGTAGCCGCCGGCAGCGCGCTGCTGCGCCTTGCAGCGCCGCCTGCCCCGCAGCGGCCGAATGGCCAACCAGGGAGGAGGGGGGGGGGGACGCGGAATGCAGGCACAATGACTCCATTATTCGTTTGGCGCGTGTGTGCAGTGTGGGCAACCGGGCTGCAGTTGGCTGCACCGAGTAGCAGTGTAGTTACAAACAGGACCAGCGTGCGGGGTACCGGGGCACCGGGGTACCGGGCAAAACGAAAGGAAGCTCGAGCTACGCTGCGAAGCAGACCTAACGTCCAGCACATTCACTTGAACCTATGCCACTGTCAAGGGACGAAACCGAAGATCTCTGGGTGTTTCAGGGTTTAGAAATGCGAAAATGACTGGAAACATTTTGCTGCAGGTGCTTCGGAGCCACGTCATGGTGCGCGTGGGCGGAGGCTGGGACACGCTCTCGCACTACCTGGACAAGCACGACCCCTGCCGCTGCAAAAGCTGTAAGTACTCTCCCTGCACCTGTTTCGTCTGAGTGTGATCCCCCAGCAGCCCCCCGGCCGGTCGCCGTGCAGCGTTCCGTGTTCGTTTTGTTTTTGTGCTGTTGTCTTTACGACGTCGTAGCCCCGGGCCGCGTCGGGGCACCGCGGTCCAAGCAGTCGGCCGATGGGACAGCGATGCCGGCCTTAACGCTCGTCCTGCAAATAAAAAGCAAATTAATCGGAGCGATCGGCTGCCCACGTGGCCAACCCGTAACTCACCCCGGGGACTGTAGGCTGGCCGCCGCCGGCCTCCAAGGCTCTCGTCGACCACCACCAAAGCCCTGCCGGCCGCCATCCTCGAGCTGCCGTCACCAAGATCTCCGAGCTAGCCGTCACCAAGATCCCCAAGCTGGCCGTCACCAAGATCTCCGACCTAGTCGCCACCAAGACCCCCGAGCTGGCCGTCGCCGAGGCCCCCGCTGGCCGCCAAGACCGTCGAGCCAGACTCCAGCAGGATTCGCAGCGGCCACCAAGAACCCCGCCGGGCGCCACCAAGAGATCACTGCGGTTGATTGAATACGGGCGAGGCAGGCCGCGGTTACCGCTGGGACGAGTAATATCCTCCATCAGTGATCAGCTGGACCAGCTGCCGCCACAATGAGTAGTAAATCAGGGGGCGTGTCCCTCGCGCTGCCCCGTGCACAAAACCACGTAACGCCGGCCGATGCATCGACACGCCGAGGGCCGCGACTCCGTCCGCGAGCTGCAGCGACCTGTGTGTGCGGCTTTCTCTGCGTCCCTGTTTTCGCGCGCGGAAATTGCAGGTCCGGCGAGATAAAAAGACAAAAATGCGGGGACTCCCTCATCCCTAACGGGGACTGTGTGTATCTTGTTTCAGTGCGGAGACCATGCCACCACAACGTGCCAACTTGCTTTTGTAAGTGGACTCAATCGGCTGGTTTCAGTTGACGGTTTTAGTCGCTTCTTTTCATTTTGTTGTGTAGTGGAGTGCGGATTTTGATTTTGCTTCTTGCTGTCTCTGTTTTATCATGTACATTTTTTTAGCGCTGTATGTTGTGGGGTGCATGCGTGCGAATGGCATGAGCTGCGCATTTTTACTTTGTTGTGTTTCATTTTCAGTTCCGCTGCACTCAATTTTTTTTGTTTTTGTTTTGGCACGGATGTTGTTGGTAAGCGCACCATTGCACTTTTTTCAAAATATTTCAATACCGCAACGAAAATTGTAAATCACCGAACGGAATGGCTGCCCTGTACTTACCTCAACGCGAAGCCCCGGCGGCGGTCCTGCACTGCAATGCTGCTTGTTTGCGGAGCGAGATCGAAAATGAAACAATTTCCAGAAATCGTCCATCATCCTCTCGGCCGGCCTCTCCTTTTCCGTTGTTTCCAGTTTTCGTTGCCCGTAGCCATTCCGCGCACCGCACCGCGCCGTTTTGCATGGACACTGATGGATGCACACGCCAAACGCGGTACAACCAAATGAATCACCGTTCTTGTCGTTTTTGTTAATTGTAATTGTTTGCCGGGGGGTGGGCTGAGGTTATGTGCTCCCCGACTACCGGGCTTTGTACGTACCGCGCCGGCCAGGCCGGCCGGACAGCGGGCGGAGCGGTTCGAGCGAGTGCGTCGCGCCACTGCTGCGTGGGCCGGTACGGGGGATATCTCTGGCGTCCAATCGGCCCGCGTCGGCCGGCCCGCCAGGCGTTTTGATGGAGCCTGTGGTTATTGGGCTAATGGACATGGCGGGGCGGGACGGGGCGGGGCGGGGCGACCAGACCCGTTCCCTCCCGCCTGTTCGGTCCATCGCCGCGGACAGGCAGCCCGACAGGCAGCGGGCCCGGATTACACGACCTCTGACCCGTGCACCCGTGGTCGCGGGCGTCGCGGCCCGAATCCGTTTTCGCGTGGCGTGCGACGCCGGCCTGCCTACCGGGCTTCCTGGCAGGGCGGGACTTTCAAACCGCGCCTAGTTCCTGGCGAGGATTTTGGCTCTCAGCGGAAGAACGCTCTGTCGCACCCACGCGTGGCGGCCCGCGCGTGCGAGAGAGACAGAGAGGCCCACATTCCCCTTGGACGCGTGCAAAGCCGGCAAAAGCCCGCAAAGCCGCCCCACTTTCCCATTAGATCCCCTGAATACATTATTTTAAAGACGCGGGATGCGTGAATGGTCGCGGGGCTGCGTGCGATACCGAGTCTCCCGTCTCTCTCGCTCCCGCTGCCGGGCTAGGCGAGTGCGACGGAGAGCGCTCGACGCAAACGCGGCCCCCGGTGACAGGTAAGGCCCCTCCCTTTCCTTTTCCGCATTCGCAGTGTAGGAGCGCTCCTCTCTCTCTCTCTCTCTCTCTCTCTCTCTCTCTCTCTCTCTCTCTCTCTCTCTCTCTCCCTCTCTCTCTCTCTCTCTCTCTCTCTCGCAGGGCGACCAGAACAACCCGGGCGAGGCGGCCGCTGTCGCCTTTCTGCCGCGGTTTGCACAAAATAACGCTGTTCGCGCGTGCCGCGTGCGTGCCACGTGCCGATGCCATGGTGTAACGGTCCGGTCTGCCTTTCTTCTTGCAGCCCACCGCGCCCCCGTGTCCGCCAAGCTGGTGCTCAAGAACCAGGGCTCGCTCGAGCTCAACAGCGCCCAGGTGCACTACGACAGGTGAGTCTCTTCCATGAGTAGTTTTGGAGTCTATATCATTTCTCCTACCTAAGTGTTCGCCTACCTGTCTATTTCGCCTACCTATATTTCGCCTACCTAATAAAAATATTGAATAAAAATATTCAATAAAATATTGCCATTTTTCGCCTACCTATAGTTCGCCTACCTAATAAAAAAATTAAATAAAAATATTCAACAAAAAAACGAAAAAATCGGCGGCAAAAAGTGGCAATACGAAAGTCTCAAGGAGACCCGCCGATCAGCTTCGGTGTTCTTATGGGAACCGGGCCTTCATCCGACGCTCCCTGCCGCGCAATTCGACAGATTAGTGGGTTCGTATTAGGCTGGCCCACCCGAAGTGCGCGCGGTTTCTGTGGTACAGTGAGAGTCCAGATTCAGAGGCCTTACCTCAGAGGGGTCACATTGGGTATTTGAACCCGCGACCCCGAGTGCCGAGTCTAGTCAACTCCTCTACCCTGACCGCTCAGCCACCGAACCAGCTTGTCGGTGGCGATGTCGCAACTCCTCTTGAGCTGCCGTTCGAGAAATCTGGTCCCGACAAAAGGGGACTTGGAGCGGTCTCGAACCCCGGGGCCTGCTGCTTCCCACATCATGCTCTTAACCACTGAGCCACCCGGGGCGCCATGGTACCCGTCCTGCCTGCGCTGGTACTCAATCTTCTCTGGATATACCTCTCCAAGCAATTGGTCGCCGAAAAAATTGTGCATACTACCGGTCCCGAACCCGGGACCTGCCGCTTCCCACATCATGCTCTTAACCACTGAGCCACCGGGACGCCATGGCACCCGCCTTGCCTGCGCTGGTACTCAATCTTCTCTGGATATACCTCCCCAAGCAATTGGTCGCCGAAAAAATTGTGTATACTACCGGTCCCGAACCCGGGACCTGCCGCTTCCCACAACGTGCTCTTAACCACTGAGCTACCGGAGGATCGTGGTGGCCGCACTGCCAGCACTGGTACTCAATCCTCTCCGGATAGACCTCGTCAAGAAGTCGGTCGCCTCTGCCGAAAAATATGCTCATGGTTCTGGTCTCGAACCCGAGACCTGCCAGTCAGGAACGCAGCACTCTAACCACGGCGCTACCAGGTTGCTGTGCACGCCACTGACCTAGCGCCAAACTTGAATAGCCACCCATCTTGCTTGATGCTGGACAAATAATAACTTCGGCGATGGGGTGAGCGCTGTGCGTAGCAACCTAATAGCGCAGTGGTTAGAGTGCTGCGTTCCTGACCGGTAGGTCTCGGGTTCGAGACTAGTACCATGAGCATATTTTTCGGCAGAGGCAACTGACTTCTTGACGAGGTCTATCCGGAGAGGATTGAGTACCAGCGCAGGCAGGGCGGGTGCCATGGCGTCCCGGTGGCTCAGTGGTTAAGAGCATGTGGTGGGAAGCGGCAGGTCCCGGGTTCGGGACCGGTAGTATGCACAATTTTTTCGGCGATCAATTGCTTGGGGACGTATATCCAAAGAAGATTGGGTACCTGCGCAGGCAGGGCGGGTGCCATGGCGTCCCGGTGGCTCAGTGGTTAAGAGCTTGATGTGGGAAGCGGCAGGTCCCGGGTTCGGGACCGGTAGTATACACAATTTTTTCGGCGACCAATTGCTTGGAGAGGTATATCCAGAGAAGATTGAGTACCAGCGCAGGCAGGGCGGGTGCCATGGCGTCCCGGTGGCTCAGTCGGTTAGAGCATGATGCGGGAAGCAGCAGGTCCCGGGTTCGAGACCGCTCAAAGTACCCTTTTGTCGGGACCAGATTTCTCGAACGGCAGCTCAAGAGGAGTTGCGACATCGCCGCCGACAAGCTGGTTCGGTGGCTGAGCGGTCAGGGTAGAGGAGTTGACTAGACTCGGCACTCGGGGTCGCGGGTTCAAATACCCAATGTGACCCCTCTGAGGTAAGGCCTCTGAATCTGGACTCTCACTGTACCACAGAAACCGCGCGCACTTCGGGTGGGCCAGCCTAATACGAACCCACTAATCTGTCGAATTGCGCGGCAGGGAGCGTCGGATGAAGGCCCGGTTCCCATAAGAACACCGAAGCTGATCGGCGGGTCTCCTTGAGACTTTCGTATTGCCACTTTTTGCCGCCGATTTTTTCGTTTTTTTTTGTTGAATATTTTTATTTAATTTTTTTATTAGGTAGGCGAACTATAGGTAGGTGAACTATAGGTAGGCGAAAAATGGCAATATTTTATTGAATATTTTTATTCAATATTTTTATTAGGTAGGCGAAATATAGGTAGGCGAAAAATAGACAGGTAGGCGAACATTTAGGTAGGAGAAATGAACAACTTCCTAGTTTTGGGACGAAAATCGGAATGTGTCGAAGGTACATTTGTCTCGGCTAAATGGGTCGGGGAACAGAATTAGCCGGGGAGTCGTCGAAACGGAGGCCGCGGGTTGCGATGAGTTTATGTAAACGAGGGCAGTGATTGGGGCAGGTCGGTAAAACAGAAGCCGGGGAGTCGGCAAAACAGGCCGCGGGGTGCAGTGAGGCGGCGAGTAAACGGGGGCAATGATTGGGGTAGGTCGGGTCGGGGCGGTGTTGTTAACGCGATGAGGGAGCGACACGGAAGTGGTCTCCCCCCCCCTCCCCCACCGCCCTCAGTCAATGCTCCGAGGTTGTCTGCCGGCGGTTCCGAAGAGTCGTCTCCCTCGCACCGCCTCGGAACGGCCCGCGAGTGCGAGAGAGGCAGAGCCGGGGCAGAGCGACGCGACCCTCGCCCCGTGTGCGGCTCAGCGTGCTGTGTCTTCGCGCTCGATGTCGCCGTGCTTTACGATAGGCAAGGCAGACTGCCGCGGGTCACGGCACTGTAGTCGCCTGGCCGAGCAAAGCCGAGCCGAGCACAGCCGAGCCGCGCGGTCAAAGCCTCGGCTCGGCGCACTACGAGCCGAGCCAGGGCAGGCATAGATGAGAAACGACCCCACGACGGCGTGGTTCGGTGGTCGCAAAAATGCAGAAAAATGGAGCGGGGCAGCTCTCGATAAGGCCAGGACGGCGTTGCGCTTTGCTTGGCTTTGCTTGGCTTTGCTCTGCACCGCAGCCTCGTTGTGGTCGAGTCGGCGAGTCGCGTGGCAAGGCGCGTCGCAACACACGGCCGGTTAATTGCCTCGGTTGCAGCGTCGCGGAGCTCCTGCCGCACAGTGGGCCAGAAGACCGGTGGAGGCGGCCAAAGACGCGTTTGGCGCTCCAAAGTCGCTAAATGAGACTCGAACCGAACGTATGACCCCACCAATTGATTGCTCTCCGAACGAGGAATCCATTGGTGGGGTCATACGTTCGGTCCGAGTCCCATTTAACGACTCTGGAGCTCAAAACGCGTCTAGAATTTTAGTCAGCGCCTGCCGGGTAGGCAACCGGCAGCGGGGCGACGCACGCCGTCGCGGCGGGTTTGCCTACCCCGCATACCGCAGGCGCTTTTGCCGGCCCATTCCAGACAGCTCTTCGTCGCGCTGTCTCTCTCGCACTCGTAGCACGTTCAGCCAGGGGTGTGAGAGAGACGGCGACAACAGAATTCGTCGCAATCGGCGTGCAGTATCACTCCTCCGAGCTCCGACTGGGGAACAAGTTCCGGGTCCCCGACGGTCCCCGAGTTCGCAGCCTCGGCGGTCACGGCCTGCGCTCCAGAAGCACGGCATGGGAACCAATGGGAACGGAAGGCTCGGCTTTCTTCCGCGACTCGGATTCAGCATTCAGCGCGCATTATGGTTATGGGCTTGGTGGCTGGTCCGGGTTCGATGTTCGATGGCCCGGCCTGCCCAGTTTCTAGTGTCGGAGTGCACCTTTGTTCCCGCTGGCCGCGCACGCCGTGCGTGCCTCCAAGGCGTCGCTCTGTCTCTCTCGCACCGCCAGGGAACGCCCCGTGAGTGCGAGAGAGACAGAGCGAGAGCACTGTGGAAGCAGCGTGCGTTGCGTTCCGGAAGCTGTTGGCACCCGGATTGCAGTTCCAGGCGAGCGGCGTCGCGGCTTGTCTCGTGCTTCCCGCCAAAATGGTTCCGGCTAACGCCTTCTCTTCCTCCAGGTCGCCGCCGAGGACGCGGCGCTCCTCCGCGTCCAGCGTGTCCTCGGGCGGGCGCCCCGACATGGGCTGCCTGCCGGTGCCGACGCCGGCCGGCGGGCTGTCGCCGTCATCGCAGGGCTCCTCGTACCGCTCCCGCAACCGGTCCAGGTCGCCGACGCCGGGCACGCCGGGCTGGCGAGGCCAGTCCGCGGGTAAGCCGTCGGCCACGCTGACGGCCACCACGGCCTCGTCTAGGGCGCGGTCGCGCTCGCCGGCCGACCCCAACCCCAACGTGTACACCCACGTCAACGGGCAGGTGCTGGGCGTGCCGGAGCACGGCCGAAGCCGCAGCCGGTCGCCCACGCCGCGCCGCGCCAGCGCCGTGTCCACCAACGGCGCTGCCAACGGCAACCTGGGCGTCCCGGGCAGGGCCAGGGCGAGGGACCGCAGCGCGTCGCCCAACTCCCTGGCGTCCCCCGTGATGCCGCGGCGCGCCAGCAGCAGCCTGCACAAGAGCGCCACCACCAGCGCCATCGTGCAGCCCGCCGACGACACCGACTTCCCCCGCGCGCACCGCCTGGTGCGACCGCGGTCGCCGTCGCCCCGCCACGCCTGGTGAGTGCCGCCGGCTCCGCCGTCAAGAGTCCCTTGGATGCATTCTCATTTGAACTCGCTTGTTTCGCCAACAGGAACGGGCACGCCGAGCACGCCAAGGAGGAGGCGCCGGCGCAGATCTCGTCGCAGGCCCTGCAGACCGCGGCGGTCTTGACCAACGGCGGCGACTCGGGCTCCGAGGTGGGCTCGGACGAGGGCTACCGGTCGCTGGGCGTCGCCACCACGCCCCCCGCCGGCGAGAAGAGGAGCGTCATCGCCAGCGTCAGGGACAACGAGGCTAGCGGTCAGTCCCCCAGCCCGCATTGTCACCGTCGCCCTTTGACGGCCGCGCGTTAAATTTGAAATGATTTTCCAGACATCAACGAGGAGCCCTCGACGCGGGACAGCTCCTGCTCCGACCTTTCGGCGAGCGGCGACCGCGTCGACGTGGCCAACGCCAACGTGCCCGTCAGCCTCGCCGCCCCGGGCACGCCGCGCTCCGCCCGCCGCTCGTTGGCGTTCGGGGAGACGGGCATCCCCGCGCCGACGTCCAGGCCGACTTCGCGGCCCGGGTCGCGGCCCGGCTCGAGGCCGGCGTCAAGGCCCGCGTCGCGGCCGGGCTCGCGCGCCGCGTCCAGGGAGCGCGGCGACTACGACATCGAGGACTCGATCGGCTCGCCCAGGAGGATGGCGGAGCTGGGTGGAACGTGCGGCTTCTACGCCAAGGTACGCCACCGGCAGTCTGTCTCTCTCGCACTCCCACACCGTGAGGGTGCGAGAGAGACAGCCCGGCCATTCAATTTCGCTTTCGGCTGCGCTTCCTGCCCCGGACGGTCGCATTCCTTGATTGCCCCTCTTCCCGCATCGCGGTAAAGTGCGTCGAGTAGGCGTGGACCTGTCCTCGCCCCTGCACTGTTTGGGCTGTTTGCGCGGCCTTAAAAGTCCTCCCAGACAACGCGTTGGCCGTGTTGTGTTTTTCCTTTCCAGGGCGCCCCGGCTTTTACAGGCCTCCCCGCAGGGCCGACGGCCCAATCATAAAAACGCGATTAAATGCGGAAATGGCTCTTGGTGTTCCAGGCGGCGCCCAGCCCGCGCGGTCGGCGCCGGTCGTCGGGCAGCGAGGACCTGGAGGCGGTGGCCGGGGGGCTGCGGCGCCTGCAGGCGGCCCGGGAGCAGCAGGGCCAGCACGCCGTCAGCAGCGGCTACGGCCAGCAAGCGCAGCAGGCGCCCGCCAGGACCGGCCGGTCGCGGTCCGCCAGCGCTGACCACAGCCAGCCCGCCGGCGCTCACAGAACCAATGGTGAGGATCTCGACGTCCTACGCGTTCCGAACGCAGCGGCGCGCTCTTTGTCCGTGCTTGCTAACGCCGTCTCCGTGCAGGGCTGAGCCACCACCCGGCTGGGCAGCAGCAGGCGCACGCGCAGCGCCGGTCCTCGAGCTCGACGGGCGTGGCCTCGACGGGGTCCTGGGGCGCGGGCCGCAAGCCGCGGGCCTCGCTCACGCCCGACACGTTCACCAGGGGCACGCCGCAGCGGGCCTCGCTGCCGGCGCGGGGCCGCACGTCGCGGCCGCAGAGCAGGCAGAGCAACGGCAACGTGCTGCCGCAGACCAACAACATCTCCCCCATCCTGGAGCAGATCCTCAAGGGCTCCGACCTGCAGGACGACGCCAAGGTCAGGATGCTCGCCACGCGGCGCCGTGTGTTCTGTTTCTGGGGTTGCTAACGCGCCACGCTTGCCCTCGCAGGTCCTGCAGAAGATGAAGGACATCATCCAGCACTACGCGGCCATCGTGGACGAGAAGCTGGCCCGCGAGGAGGAGGAGGAGCAGCTGGACTTCACGTCGGCGTGGGTGCAGGGGCTGCCGTCGCAGCAGCAGCAGCAGCCCAGGATCACGCCCAGGAAGGACTCGCACCCGCAGGGCGCCACCTCCAGGATCCCGGCGCCCGTGTCGGCCGGCAAGCACCGCATCTAGGAAGCGACGCCGGCGACGCCCTAAACGAGGACGGGCGGGGCCGTGTGGCCGTGCGGCCGTCCCCATCAACGGACTGCATCGTTCCTTCTTTCGGAGCGCCACGTTTATGGCTTCGTCGACGTCCTCCGCGAACGACAAGAGAGTTAGAGGCGGCGCGGCCGTGCCCCGAAACAGCCCGCCAGGCGGCAGGCCCGGCCAGCCCGGCCGGCGAGGAGACGATCACCTTATGCAAATCCGAGCCGAGCCCCGCGCAGCCTGCACAGCCTGCGCAGCGGGCAGCCGCTTGTTTCCGTCCGTGGGCCTGGTGGCCGCGTGGAGTCCACGCCGCGTCCACGCCGCGGACCTTACTGGACGCAGAATCTAGGGCAGCAGTGTTTGGCCGGGGACTAGACCGGGGACCACGAGCTCGCATTGTGCCTGCATCGGGCAAGGCGCGGTCCGGCCGGAGCGTCGTAGAGCGTCGCAGAGCGGCCGAGTAGGCGCTGCTGCATCGCGCAAACTGAAGACAGGGTTCAATTTAAGTAGCTAGTAATTTGTAGGTAGCAATTCCCCCTCCCCCTTACTGTCTGTTCGTCATGTTTACTGTTGTTGAGGAGAGCGCGTTAACACACTAATCACACACATCTCTACTGGTGCTGGTGTTTGTTTTTTGTGTTTTCTTCTCGTTGAGTTAAGTCATCAACGTGTTGGGGATCGATTGCCAAAAATTATGTTCTATTTTGTCAAAAGGACAGAATGTAGCACAAAAATGTATAGTTTACGTTGTTACCGTTGTAGCTGGACTCTTTCGATATTTATGTAATTGTTGTCGGCGGGCGGATGTGAAAATCGTCCCTTGTATTTTAGTGTTTCGCTCTTATGTGCCTTGATAGTTTTGTTTGATGGAACGCGCGGCGGTTTTCGCCGTTGGATTCAGAATGTGCCGAGCAACTGCTCGGCCAGTGCTTCATGTTACCACGATTGTGCGGCTTTCCTACGCACGTTGATCGTCTCTGACGAGGCCTGCCTACTGGTCGCACAATTCATGTTAGGTTTATGTTCACAAATGTGATTTTTTTTATTTGTTCATTTTATTGTAACCTCGGCGCCCCATTCGCGTTTTTGTTTCTTCAGTTCACGAACGAACCTGTGTTAGATGTACCCGTACATACCTGTGCTGTGGGTGCTCAAGAAAAGTTATGAAAATAACAAAATGCTTTTGTGAAGTGGTGTAGTTGCCATATGTGTTTGTGTGGCGAAGATTAGAGTGCCTTCCCCTTGTGATTGTCCTTTTTTTCGCTTCTGGTGTTTTTTCTGACCTTGGCGATGACTCATTCGGCCTTGGGTATCGTCGAAACAGAAGATTCGAGGGATAAATTTTTAGTAGATTCGACGCTAAATCGACAGTGTCTTGATTCAATGACTCGATTTTACGTCGAATCCTCGTTTGGGCTGCAAGACTACATTTTTGCCTGTTGTTCTAGTCTTAGTATTGATATTGCGTTGTGGTTATCGCACGTACACGGGGTGGATTGTCCGGTCGAAACGATGGCATTTGCAGTACTAGGCGTCATTTCGACCGGTCACTTCGCCCCGGAAAGGCACCAAGTTGCCCTATTGTACGCGCTTTCAGTCGCTTCAAGGTTTTTGTGGATGCAATAACTCGACTTGTGATCGTAAACTCCTGAGGCGTCGATGAGGAAACGCCAGTTTATATATTTTTTTTAAGCGGCGTTCATTTCCACGTTGTTATTTTTATAATCGACTCGCGTCTCGATTAGTCTTGTGTTTTTTTTTTTCATGTCTTATTTTACTAACCTGGCAATCTAAATGGCATATTAATTATTTATTTGGTTTCCTCTCGATGTGGTTTTTACTTTCTTTAACTGTTCCATTTATTATTCCCATGTTAATTATACTTTTAAAATATTTATTTTTAATGAGTGTCTCTTTTGTTTGGCACATGTTTTTTCTGCACATTCCTTTCAGACTGCCGGTTATAAGCTTCTAAGAGGCATTTTAAAGTTTATTCGCATTTATCATAGAGGACATTCAATTTAAATTTACTCATATGTCACAGCGAAATAACGTGTTAAAAGGTGTTTTGTTGATAGAAATAGCACTGATGTACGGTAGTAAAAAAACTTGCATGTCTCCTATCTGTTACAATTTAACTTCTATTTATCTTCCCTACCAGAAAATTTATCTTGAGCATATCTCCACAACCTTGCTCAAATTTTACTGCTAACTTCTATAAGCACGCATTTGGCTCTTTGTATAGTTGTAGATTTGCTGCTTTTGCAGCAAACATCTCAATGTGATTCTTCCTTAAATTTGTGATTTGCAAAGAAAATTCGGACCCATAAGAGCTCCCGGTGAGCGCTTCTAGATTTTTCTAGATTTTCATTAGTTTTCCTTGACAATTTTTGTAGAAATGCCTAATAATTTGATAGTTAATACTGTTTTTAAAATTGAATTGTCACCTAAACTTTGATGTGTGGAATCTTCAAGCTACGCTTGTAACAAGCTGTACTTGACCTTGAAGCTAAGAAAGAAAAGGATCGACTGATAGACTGGACTTCACTCCTTCTGAGACAATTTCGTGTTTATTTTTTACCTGTATAATATACTGATAATTGTTGTACTCTGCCAAGTGGCAATATAGGCTATTGTTAAAACGTTTTGCTGAACTGTTTTTCTTTTAAGCAACGATTGTGTTTACTAGAGTAATTATATAGCCTTAACGTTTTTACTAATTTCCTGGAATTCACATTTTTGTATAGAAAGCAGACTAATATGAAGATATAGTGGCCTGCCACGCAATCCTATAGTGTTAGTTCCCATACTAATACTGATATTTTTTGTACTTGTTTGCCTTTGTAAATAGGAAAGGTCGATCTATGTGTGGAGCGTTTTCTACCATGAGGAAAGATGAATCAATAAAACCTATCTATCCAATATAAAAGCCGCCTTGTCGTTTCATTCATCCGTCGAGCCGAATTCGGACTCGTAAAGCCGCTGACAAATTGCCCCGTGAGTGCGAGAGAGACGGAGCGAAGCCCAATTCAGATCGTGCCGCCGTGACAACGCATTCGACGGCTGGATATTGCCTCCGCGACGCTGGCTCCGAGCTGGCTCGCTGCCCAGCGGGCTGATGCCGAACACGGCTTTCGTCGCTGTCTCTCTCGCACTCGTGGGGGCGTTCCGATGGGGTGCGAGAGGGACAGCGTCGTGCACACTGTTCGGAGTCGAGCCAGCCGGGCCGGAGGCGTCCGAGAGCACTCCGCCCGCCCGCACTCGGAGGCTCGGAGCCTTGCTCGGAGGCCGCGCCAGACAGAGAGCGCTGCCACTGCCTCAGTTTCCGGCCGAGGGTTGTTGCGTTCGGATCGGATTAATGACCGTACGGCACACGCCACAAAGAAAGTGAAACGGGAAAGGCAGGCACTCCACTGCTTTCTAGATGACATACGTCGCAGCCTCTCTAGCTCCAGTTCAAAGAAGACGGTGCGAGACACGCCGGACACGCCGCCGACTGTCGAGTGGTAGTCCCACATGACAACAACCTGGATGGTTCTGCTGTCTCTCTCGCACTCCTACGGGGCACGTGGGTGCGAGTGAGACAGGAGATGGCGGTTCCTGCCGCCAGCAACACTCGCTGCCCCACGCCGCGGAGGTCGCGGCCCGCCGGACCACCGCCAGGACGCCGTGACAGCCGAGCCAAGGCTCGTTGCGTCGCTGCGTCTCTGTCGCACTCATGGGTCGCGGCGTGCTGGAGGTGCTGGTGCGAGAGAGACAGAGCGGAGCGGTCCTTCGCCCGGCAGACCGCGTATCGACAGCCGGTCGTAACGCCGCGCCCCCGAGCCCCTGCAGGCCGACTCCGAGGCCCCCGTCGGCCTGTCTCTCTCGCACACGTACGAGGCGCCCCATGAGTGCGAGAGAGAGAGGCCCAGCACTCGGAATCAGTCTGCAGGCGCCCTGGCCCGGCCTGCCTGTCGGGGCACCCACCTCTTCATCGGCGTGCCGCGCGGTGCCGCCGCGCCAGCGACAAGTTGACAGGAGGAAGTGTGCGTTACCCAGAGCTTGTAAAGCCTGACGCAAGAAATTGACAGTGCGGAAGCCGACTAGTTTTTAGACACGAGAAAAGGGGGCGGCGCGCCGCGGCGGGGCGTTCCAAGTCCGCGCGGGTCAAGCCTCGGCGTAGAAAGCAGGGACGACGGGGACCCGACATGCTAAGGATGACGGACTGCGCAAATATGACCGTTCTCAGCAACTCTCTCTCCCTCTGCTGACTCCGCCGAGCCGGCGAAGCCGCTTGGTAGGCTGTCCCGAAAAAAATAAAATTCGCAGAGAAACACGTTAACGCTAGCGGGAAAGCAGGAATAAAACTTCAATCTCTATCAGCCCGAGAGCACTTTTGTGCCAAAAGACCACTTTTCTGCAAAGATTAATTTTCTTTCCGGGAGTATTTTTCTGCACAGAGCATTTTCCTGTCCAAGAGCATTTTTCTGCCCGAGAGAGACGAAGCCACTGTAAGCGTCCTGCTAACTGCTTGACTCGGCAAGCCCGGTAGCCGCGGAGCAAGCCTCGGAGCGCTACAAGGAGTAGCGACGACACACAATGAAATGAACCGCCGCTTCGGCTTCGGCAGGACAAATGGCGGCTAAACGACGCCAGGGCAGCGAGTGCATTCGAATGCAGGCAGCGGCTCGGCTCCACCCGAGAACAATACAATGGCATCGTTGGTCGGTTGCCCGCGGTCGCCCGGTGTGATGCTGTGTTTGTGATTGGCATCACTTTGCTCTTCGAGTGGCGCGCTCCGGGAGAGAGAGAGGGGAGGGGGGCAAAGGCTCACCGGGACAGGCAGCGTCATAGGAAGCCCGCCGGAAGGAAGCGCGACATGACTTGACCGCCGCGCCCCGCCCCGCCGTGCCCCGGCCCGGCGCGAGACTGGCGGTGGAGGACGCGTCCATACATGGCAAGGACGCTCGGACGGCGTGGACGCCGTGGACGCCGTGAGCGAGGCGGGGCGGCGGGCTGAGGGCGGTGACAGGACGCGGCACCTTCCGCTAACCGGGCAAACTCGGATGCCATTTCTCTTCCTTTCCTATGTTTACGTTGTTTGAGTAGTTTTTCTCGCCGGTTTCCGCCACAAACAAACTGGAACCGACGCACAGTGGACTAAAAGACCGGAGGAGGCGGCCAAAACTCTAGACGCGTTTTGAGCTCCAGAGTCGCTAAATGGGACTCGAACCGAGCGTGTGACCCCACCAATGGATTGCTCTCCGAACGAGGAATCCATTGGTGGGGTCACACGTTCGGTTTGAGCCACATTTAGCGACTCTGGAGCTCAAAAAGCGTCTCGAGTTTTGGCCGCCTCCACTGGTCTTCTGGCCCACTGTGCGTCTCTACCCCGCGCGCAAGAGACCATCCATAAGGCTAGCGTTGTAAATCTCTGACGCGTGGAGTAGTGACGGTCGGATTCTTTTGCACACGGTAGTACGACGCGTGCGCTGGCGGCGCTACCCCCCGCGACGGGCGCGTCGCATCGCGAGGGGTAGCGCCGACGGCCGTGGCTACGCGTGGCTTAGCGTGGCTTAGCGTCGCCCAAAGTTTCCCGCCACGCCGCCCCGGCATCGATTGTGCCCCCGGCTGCGCCTTGGCTGCGCCTTGACTGGCCGTGTTTACAGTGGCTGGGCATCGCCTTATTGCTTTTCGCGGCTCACTTGTCATTACTTATTCTCCCTCGGCGATGACGGGTCGCTCGGCTCGCTCGCCTTCTTCCGATGTCGGTGATTACCGTCCTCGCGCCGCATTCAGAAACCCGTCCCAAGACTCATTCCGCGAGTCGCTTCCGTCGCTGTCTCTCTCGCACCTATACGGACCGCCCCAGGAGTGCGAGAGAGACAGAGCGACGAAAACGACTTTCGGAATCAGTCTGCAGTGCAGTGGCGCCCTCTACCGCGGCGGTCGCCTGGCGGCCCGGCGGAAGGACCTTGGGGGACGCGGGGAAGTCCATATAGGCCGCCGCCAGCGCCGCCAGGGCGGTGCCATTCGTGCGAATTCGTGGCGCGGCACGCAGGCCAAGCACGGCAGGCAGCAGCAATTTTTATTGTCATTTTTTTAAAAGCCCCCACCACCCTCCACGCCGTGTATTTACTGCGCGTAAGGGTAGCCTTGGCTGGCCGTGGTTGGAAACATGTCGACGCGGGCATTTCAGCATTTTGTTTTGTTACGTCGCAAATGTTTACGCCGCCTCGGCGCCCTGTCCGAGGCCCTCGGGGCTCGGGGCCAGCTAGCGCCGAGGGGCCCGAGGCTGAGGGGCACCAGGACGCCGCCGTCGGGACGGCGGTCACGCGATAAGTCCAGCCAGGGCGGCGGCGTCGGCGTGGTGCAGCCCGCCGGGAAGGCAGGCGTCCCAGCGCACAGCCGCGCAGGACGGGCTGCCCGCCGGCCGGGCGGCCTCGACGCCGTGAGCGCCTGCAGCGCGGCCGCGGCCAGCCCGCCGAACACGCGTGCAGCGCTCCGCGCGGGCTGCCTACCCAGCCGGGCGGTCGCCCCGTGCTGCAGCGGCGTGCTCTGGTGGCCGACGGCGTTGATGTTGGCGAAGGGGACGACGCCGTCGGATGGATGATCGCGGCGTGGCCGGCATGGCATGACGCAAGCTCGTAATTAGCATGGCCGCGTCGCCGCGTCCGGCCCCACTGCGGTGGAGTGCGGCGTGGCGCTCATGGCAACACGCGGCACGCCGCGGCACGCACTGGTCTGGTTCGGTCTGGACTGGTCCGGGTTAGTTGGCCCTCTCCCGGGCACGCCTTGCCCTGCCGGCCCTGCCCTGCCGGCCCTGCCGCGCCACTGGGATCTGTCGCGGCAATGGGATAGGGCTTCACGGCCACACGCACCAGCAGCTCGATGAGTCCCAACAGCACTCTGTCTCTCTCGCACTCATGGGGCGTCGCGCACGGGTGCGAGAGAGACAGTCCGACGACGTGTGCGGAATCGAGCTGCCAGGCTCGGGTCCTCCACATATTACGTAACAACATTAAAGGCAACGGTCCTTGATAAACGCCTATGGGGTCGCGTATCCAGGGCAGAGAAAGGGGGGGGGGGTCTTGACCTCCATGACCCTTGACCCCATGCCGACAGCAAGCGGGCGGCGGGCTGACAATTTGCACTGCAATCCTTCAGACAGTGGGAAGCGCAATGTGGCTCCGCGTGCCCGACTCAAGTTTTGATGTGCCAGAGTGCGTGGGGGCACTCCAAACCAGCGTGACGTCACGCTTCGCTAAGGGAAGCCTCCCTCCCCCGGGGCGATGCAGGGTCGTGATAAGATAACTTGGACGGCAAATAGAGGACGGCAGTTTGAATGGTTGACACATCCGGAGGGATTCGCCAGGTTGGTCACTTTCCCGCCGTGTGTTGCCTACCTTTCCGGCGCTTCGGAAAGGCGCATGCGAGAGGCACAGCGGCAGCCTTGCCCCCTTTAAGCAGCGCGCACGGGCGACGCCAACTGTTCTGGGTGAACGGAGGCTCTCAGAAAGCCGGCAGGGCCGGCACACCGCCAGACCAGGCGCGCGCGTAGGGCCGGGAGGGGGAGGAGGCTGTTGACTGTCGCACACTTGACCGCCTGCCCGGTCTCTGCGGGTCTCCGATTGACGGGCCCGGCCTCAACCGGGTGAGCTGATGGAGTAAATCAAGATCGGCAACCTCCTCCGCCGCGTCCGCCGCCGCCACGACCCTGTCCGCGCGGGACGCTCCCCTAGTCCCGGCCACCGCGCCGCCGCGCCACCGCTATGACGGTTTGCACTTTCGTTTAACGGAAAGTAGTCGTGTGCGATCGATCCAATGCACAGATGGGGCCACTTTTGGTGTAGGCTGCGTTGGGGGCGCGGCGGCGCGGGGCAGGCGGCGCCTCCCCTGTCCACCTGGGGCAGCACGGCCAGCACGGCCAGCTGGAGGGGAGAGTTGATGTGCGAAGGTGTGGCGGACACCATCGCGGTGATCGATACCCGCCAACCCGGCGTTGCCTGCCGTTGCCTGCCGTTGCCCGGCGTTGCCTGCCGCGTGCTCGAGTTGCGCCTCGCAGTCTAGACAGGCCTATGTCCTCCAGACAACGGCTGCGCGGTTCGGCCGGTTGGGGGAGGGGCGGGGGTTGGCGTGGCTGGGCCCCATCGGCAGTGCATCGAGTCAGTGGCCTTTAGGCCTTTACCCTGAGGGCCGCCAGGGCCGCGCTGCCGCGGGGCTAGCTCGCCGTGCTTGCCCGTTGCCCGACGCCCGCTCGACGCCCACCCTCCGCACGCCGCGCGCACCTGGCCGAACCGCGGCACCGCGTCCGAACCCAACCCGACGCCCTCGCCCTCGCGTCCCGCCGCGTCCCCTCGGGCTGGGCAAGCCCCTGGGTAGGCCCTTGGGTCCCCACGAGGCGCGGTGACGACAGCGCGCAACACTGTGGAAAGGTGTGTGCCACGGCACTGCCACGGCAGGGGAGGGGGAGGGTGTGGTGGCGAAGCAGGCGAAGGAACCTACCTACTTAACTTATCGGCGCCTTTATCTTTACTACCGGCCCCACGCCGCCCCACGCGGCACTGCGGCAGGCCCGGCCTTTTAGTGTTTTCGACCCGCGGGACAAATTTCTAGAGCGGCACTGGTGCGGCAGGCATGCGGCTCCGGACAGTTCCCGACAGACAGACCTACTAATTGACTGGGTGAGACTGACTGCTCTGTAAGGAGCAGTGACTTTGCCATACGGTTTGGCATCGAATTTCGAATTCGAGCACTGATTGGCGGGGCGGGAAGGGGGGGGGGTGGTTGGCGTCAGAGCGGTGGGCGAGTTGGCGAGGGACGTTGCCAGTCCGTCTGTCTTTCTCAGTGTGTGTGCGCGTGTGTGTCGGTGTGTGTTGGCCAGGGGTGAGTGAATTAGGTAGGGGTTGCCGGGGCCAGGCGGGGTGACCTCGTGCCTGGATTGCCCTTCTTCTGCTCCACTCTCTCACTGGCGACCACTCCGACCACAGGTTGTCCCGGGGCTCGAGGGGTGGGTGGGTGCGGCCCTCGGGCGGCCCTTGGTGCGGTGCAGCGCTGGCGGACTGGCCCACCCACACTCGCCCCACTCGCCGCCGCGCTGCGTTTTGTTTACATTGGCGCCGCGCGACGCTTTTACGCGACGCCGTGGTGGCGTCGTGGTGTTGCCGGGGTTGGGTTTCGCGCCGTCGCCCCGATCGCCGGCCTGCTATTAGGGGCAATCGAACACGCCCCGCCCCGCCCCGTCCCGCCCCGCCGCGACAGCTGACTGCTGCGCCACACTTATCGCCGGCCGTCCGGAGGGGAGCCCCACATTAATCGGAGGGCACGCGGGGAGCGAGGGGCTGGCTAGCTTGCTGGCTAGCGGTTAGCCGAGGTGAGGCCGCCGTGGCGCCTTGGCACCTCGGCCGCCGCGCTTCGACCGCGACGTCCAGGAAGGCGGCCCGGGGGCGTGTCGACCAGAGTCCGCGCGCGGGGGCACGAAGAAGTGGAATTCCGAGCGTTGAAAAAAGCCCCCCCCTCTCTTTCCCTGGCTTGCTGGTGGTGGTGGCCTGCCCTAGCACTGCCCTAGCACTGCGACCCTGCGTGCGCGGGCCAGAAAGTGTGTCCTCTGAGATCGCGTGCGCGCGGCGTGCGGCATGGCTTACGACCGCAACACACACACACACACACACACACAGAGCGGCCTCCCTTAGGCCGTGGGCCCCTCGGGTGCCGTAGTGCCGTACCCGCCGAGTCCCAGCCGCGCCGCCGCGCCGCCAACACGCCCGCGTCGCTCCTTGGCGGTAGGCACCCCGCTTCGCTCGATCTGCGCAGGGCGGCGCAGGGCAGCCAGGCAGGGCAGCCAGGCAGGGCAGCCAGGCAGGGCGCGCGCCCCCTTGACGGCCCCTGCCCAATTTCCCCTTCCCCCTCCCCCTCGCACTCGCAGGCGCCGCGTTTCGTGCTCGCCAAGGGGGCGTGGTCGGGGTTGGCGCGACGCGGCGGGGCGGCGGGGAGGGGAGGGGTGGCGGTCGGAGTGGGCGCTGGCGGGGGTGCGCGGGACGACGGGCGCGGCGCCGCGGGGTCCGAGGGCAGGCAGGGAAGGCAGGGAGGGACGGGCGACGAGGAAGTCACTGCCTTGCATCGGATTGGAGGGTTGGCCCCGTAGGCCCGAGCCGACCGACCGCGGCAGCGGCGAGCGAGCGGCAAGAACACAAGCTCACGACAAGTCGCCTGTAAATAAGCGAAGAGCCAGGCCGCCCCGCCAGGCCGCCAGACGCGGCGTGTTGCAGTGTGTGCGCGGTCGCGCGGTCTGGCCTGGCCTCAGTGGCGCCGACGAGTGGGCGGAGCGCGTGCGCGGTGCAGCCGGAGGGCGTCGTGAACGTGAACGTGTACGTCGTGTTGTGCCCTGACAATGACGGTGAGACAGCTCGCCGCGGACTCGGCGCCGAGGCCGCGGCCAGCCTGATGGCCTCATACTTGGGCTGCTCCGTGGTCCGCCTCCTCGCGGCGTCGCGGCGTCGCGGCCGCGGCGGGGTCGCATGCCGCCTGGCGCGCGTTGACCTGTTGGTTGTTGCAGGATGGACGCCGTGCCTTCAGTGCCGTCAGTGCCTTCCCCCGCCCTGCCCGCGCCGTGTCCACACTGTCCACGCCTCTGTCTGGTTCTGGTTATCACCGCACATGAGCCATAGCCCCGGCACAGTCTCGGCACGGCCCAAGGCACGGCGAGCAGGCAGAGGCACAGGCCGTTTCATGTTCAGCGGGGCAGGACCAGGACCACAGTCCCCGGGACCAGGACCAGGAGGACCGTCGCTGCCGCAGTCGTCCGACAGAGGCGGCCAGGGGACTCCGAACGAGGCCCGACCCCAAACCCGCGCTGCCCGTGCAGGCTGCACCAGCTAGCCTGCGGGCCTGCGGGCCCTGGGGGGAAGCCAGGGACCGGGACCGCCTGCCAGGCAGTGGCTGTGGTTGTCTTGCCTGGGGCGGCCTGGGGCGGCCTGGGGCCACGGCGGGGTGAGGACCCCGCAGCCCTCGGTGGCGGCATGGACATGGAATCCCTCAAGACGGACAGGCACATCCTGGAGAACTCCATGCTTGAAGATGACCCCAATGAGAACTCAGCATTGAGTCAAGAGGAGAAAAATTTGCCACGATGGGGTCCATACCACAAGGGAGCACAGGAATTGGCCAAGCTCTACAGCACAGGTAAGTTGCTCACCTTAACAAAGTGTTGCCTGTAAACAAAGAATTGTTTTGGCAGTGAGATGGGGTAGTGTAACTCCAGTGCTGTTTCATATCATCTAGGATGGAATGAATATTGTTGTTTGGATCATGCTCCAAAGCTGCTTAACTGCTGCTTCTATCTAAATGTCAAACTAGATAAATCTTATAATATACTTTTCTTATATTTCAGGAAAAAGACGACAAGAAACTCTTAGCATTTATATGTGCCTTATTTTGATGGCTGCCAATTTTTTTTTCATTTTAAGACACTTTCAAATGGAACGGTGGACCACGGTAGTATTTGCAGCTCTATGCGGTATAATAACGGCAGACTTTGCATCTGGTCTAGTTCATTGGGGAGCAGATTCTTGGTGCTCTGTGGATCTACCTATCATTGGAAAGGTATGTTCCATCATTCATGAGAAAAGGAAACAGCTCCTAGGGAGCTGTGACAGTTTGTGCATGAACTTTTTTTGTGATCTCTTCCAGAACTTTTTGCGACCATTCAGAGAACACCATATTGACCCAACATCCATCACAAGGCATGACTTTATCGAAACAAATGGTGACAATTTTATGCTTACTATTCCTTGTCTTGCCAGAATGCTTTGGGACTTTTTAACAAAGTCAAATGAAGAAGTGCAAAACACTTTTTCATGGACATGTTACCTCTTCCTCTTGGCGGTATTTGTAGCTATGACAAACCAGGTAAGACAAGCTAAGTTAACATAAATGGGACTAGTTTACATCAAAATACACCAACAATTTTGTTTTTCTCACAGATACACAAGTGGTCACACACGTACTTTGGTTTACCATGGTGGGTCATATGGCTGCAAGATCACCATATAATTTTGCCACGCCTCCATCATCGCATTCACCATGTTGCACCTCATGAAACTTACTTCTGTATCACAACTGGCTGGTTAAACTGGCCTCTAGAAAAACTAAACTTTTGGCCTTTCTTAGAGTGGTTAATAACTACTCTTACTGGGTACAAACCAAGAACTGATGACTTCAAATGGGCACAAAAGAGAGCTTAAGGAGTAAATTACAAGTCAAGGAAGTTTTTTGTTTTCAAATAACACATTGACATATTTTTTTAATGCACAAGCTTTACAAAGCCAAAGAATTTCCTTCCTTTTACAGTAATACATGGTTAATTTTTTAATATTGTAGTTTTATCTCCGGCTATCGCTGTTTAATGGAATTCTTTGGATTAACTCCAGATATTTTATATATATCAAAGTTGTGCTTCATTTCAATTTTGTGTTTAGCCAAAGAAATTTATTTTGTGATCTCCTTACATACATGTTCTCTGAATTAGATAATCACCAGAGTATTGTACCTATATTTTTTGTAGGTGCAAAGTGATAATATGTTTTCAACAAAATTAATTTTTGTGACCTAAGTTGTGAGCCTAAGGATACAATTTGCTCAACAACATAACAAATATAATGTTCAAGTCACTATTTAAGAACCAGCTGAAAACATATGGTTTGAAGGTGTATTTGTTGCTCTCTGCTGCCTGACTATTTGAGCCGTCCTGCCTTAGCATAGTGAAGCGTTGTGTGAAATAGTCGTCTGTTCAGACAAAGTCTACAATGCGGTTTTATTGATAAATGGAATTTATTTCCGTTCCTTTTTTCCTTATTTGCACGAAAAATTTCTGAAAATAATTATTTATTTTGAGAACTAATTGGTTATAAATATTTCCATGCCACTTTCTTACGCTCATGTTGCTTCTGCTTTTGGTTTCATTGTTTGTCCCAGGAACACTTATCAATCATCCAAGGTGTGAGATGGAGAGAGAGAGAGAGAGAGAGAGAGAGAGATGTAGAGAGAGTGAGTGTGAGTGTGTGTCTTGCCAAAGCAAAGTACATTGTCTTAATATAGCTTAATAAGGAATGCATGACAAGATACCCATTATTTTTTGATATTAAACTTTTTCTACAAGGTATGTGGGTTGTTGAAAAGCTTGCATCATCAATGATTCTGTATCTGACACAATGTAGATTCTTCCCTTCCGAATTCCATCATCTGATTTGGTTGTTCCTTCCCAATTCCTTCCTATTTATCTAAATGCTTAACAAAGGGATGAGAGCAAAAGGTAGCTACTTAAGAACAAATTTTCTCTAAAGATGAGAATATTAATTTTGATCTCCTCGGTAATGTAAGTTTTGTGTCATGGTGAAATTACTGCTAATGAAGTGACAATACCAACACAAAACCGTTTCTTTTTCCACAAGGACTTGAATAATTTTAGTATGACCTATCCTTCTCATAGGCACAAGTTTTTTTTCTACTAAGTACTGAAAGGGACAGTTTGTACTTTCTCAACAGTCCAGAGAGAAGATTAGGTCATTTTTGTCAAAAAAATCTCACGAAGATGTCACAAAACACGTGAAAATGGTACAGTGAGGCACTTTTATCATGAAACAATGTTGTCTTTGAGAGTTTTTCGTTCTTCTCAGGGAGACGAACCTGCATTGTGGGACCAATACAGTGTGATTATTTCCTTTGTAGAGAAGCACCCGCATTGATGTAATAATCCATCCATTAAGCAATTTTAATATTAAATGTTTGTCTTTTCAGACCAAAATTCTTATATTACTTTCTTTGTCAGGTTCCCTCATGAAAGTGCAGCAAGCAAAGAGAAGAAAGAATGCACTTATGATACGGGCAGGCCCTAATATGTGTTGTGTGTTAGATGATTTTTGTAGCCACAAGTGTTCTATGACACCAGTCTTTGGCAATGTAATCAGTTGATATTTCGCCTTGATGTTTAGTTAATGGTGCTAGTATGTAGCGTTTGTAGCACCAATTTGCATCTCACACATAAATTATAAATAGGAACACCTTTAAAAAGTGGTCAGTAAGAGGTAAAAAGTGCATATGTATTACCTGAAAATTCATTGTATGTATTACTCTAAGCTGTGATAATTTTGGGCCATAGGAAGGTGCACTCATGTGCACATTGTTGTTTGTTGTATAAAAAATACTTCTATGCCCAGTTCCTTAAAATTACTTACACTTTTTGTTTGTCCATTTCTCTGTATACAAAAAAATCTTTTCAATCCAATAAGAAGTATGCACTACTAAAATGTAAAAAAAATTGTAACTTGTCCTTCGAAAAATTTTCAACAAAGAAAATTAAGGTCTTTACCGGCAGCTCAATTACATTAATTTTTTGCCCTAGTAAATGTAGTTTGTTTGGATTTTCATGACCTATCATCCACTATTTTCTACTATGAATTTTGAAAATTTTAATTCTTATACATATTTTACTTACGAGTCTGTTCTCAACAAAAATCAAATTTGAAAAACCATTCTTATACCAATTAGATTGTGATGAAATCAAACCTTGGGTAATTGATCAAAGATATAAGTTTTAAAATACCGCATGTTAAATGCTTCTGGCACAATATTTTGAGCTTCCTTTGCTGGTTTGCAAGAGTTTATCTAAGCGATAGAGGGTAAATGTATTTAGTTATGTTATGTTGTTAAACAATAAGCTTTGATACAATTTGCTTTGATTCCGTTTTTAAAATAGTTCATCATGATGAAGAATATATACAATAAAGTTTGAACACAGGAATCATTTTGTTCGTTGCTTTCTTACTGAACATCTGCTCCTTCAACTCAAGGCTTGAACTTACGTCAGATTAAAGTTCGTGCAGCCAGAAAGCAGCACTAGAGGTTTCGCCGCTTTGAAACGTCCCGCGCAATGGCCGAGCTTGTCATTTGTTTTTTCTGTCAGAAACTGCCAGCTCGGGCTGTGCCACCACTGCTAAAAGCGGCCCGCCAGAGCTGGCAGTGCGCAGCGCAGAGTGTAGGTACTTGTGATGGTCGAGGACAGATTGTTGTCTTGTGAACTTGAAAAACACAGCTGAGAGGGCTGTTGAATGTTTATGATCCGATGATTGAAACCTTTAATTTCGTAAGTAAAAGCGGAAGCACACAGTTAGCGTACGAGCCTTTAAAGGACTTCAATCTTCTTTCGTTAACGTCGTAATATGTAGGCCAGAATTAAGCCTAGCGATTGTGGAAATTTTCCGCCCAAATTGCAATAGTTTTCCCTTTGGTGGGGAGGCTTTTTTTGGTCTCATCGTGTTACGTATTAGTTTACTTACATCTGAGAGTTTGTCATTGATAGTCTTTCCTTTTAAATGTACCAATGTCAAGTTCGTCACTTCCTTGGTTAGGTTCACCTTATTTTCATGATCACACATCCGTACCTTTGAGTTTTATTTTTAAAAGTTTTTGTTTTTAACATTTTTTCCTTTATTATCTTTGTATTTAACCAATCTGTTTACGTCAAACATTTTATCAACCCTTTATTGTTCTCTGTTGTTGTATGCCACTATCTTAATCTCTTGTAACCATATTTTGTTTATCGTTTACAAAGACTCCACTCTCAGACAGCTCAATGAAAAAAAAAGAAGTGGGCTACATGCCATGAGTGCCATGGCCTGTTTAAAATACATATCAATTTTTTACTTAAATTGATTACAATGTGATGTTAATTCTGTTTCTTTCCAATTTCAATCAACAAGGACTGCCTTTCCTAATTATGTCCTTTTGCTGATTTACAGGATTTCTACAGTAACTGCCTCTGAAATTAAACAATCACCAAAATGCCTCTGTTCGGAAAATCACAGAAAAGTCCAGCTGAAGTAGTCAAAGCACTCAAAGAGGCTGTGAGTGCTCTAGAGCGTGGGGATAAAAAAGCTGAGAAGGCTCAAGAAGATGTGAGCAAGAACCTTCTTCTCATGAAGAATATGCTTTATGGCACATCGGATGCAGAACCACAAACGGATATCATGGTGGCTCAGCTTGCACAAGAGCTGTACAATTCAAATTTATTGCTTCTCCTCATACAAAACCTAAACCGCATAGACTTTGAGGTACAAATTAGTTTTTGAAATGCATAAATTTTGGTGACTGGTATATACTATACCTATCTCTACTATCTCTATCTCTGTCCTTTACATGACAAATCCTTGTTTTATTTCTGTTGTAGGGCAAAAAAGATGTGGCCCAAGTTTTCAACAATATTCTCCGGCGACAAATCGGTACTCGATCTCCAACTGTTGAATACATTTGCACAAAACCTGAAATTTTGTTTACTCTAATGCGAGGGTCAGTACTTTAATCCTAGTCCATTTTGTGTGCGTTATTGTTTCTTTGTAGTTTATTTATAATAATTCTTTTCTCCATTTTTCTTCCAGTTATGAGCAACAAGAAATTGCTTTGAATTGTGGCACTATGCTGCGTGAATGTGCTCGCTATGAAGCTCTTGCTAAGATAATGCTCTATTCTGAGGACTTCTTCAACTTCTTTAGATATGTTGAAGTTTCTACATTTGATATTGCATCAGATGCATTTTCCACCTTTAAGGTTAAGATATGTCTTATTTTATCAGTGTGCATACTCCATTTGAACTGGAAATACTGAATATTGTTTTTTTTAAATAGGAACTTCTTACCCGTCACAAGATGCTTTGTGCTGAATTTCTGGAATTGAACTATGACAAAGTGTTTTCACACTACCAGCGCCTTCTCAATTCAGAAAACTATGTTACCCGTCGACAGTCCCTCAAGCTACTTGGAGAACTGCTCCTTGACAGGCACAATTTCACTGTTAGTTGTTTTATGGATATGTCACTAATGTTTGTTTTGATGTTATGTAATATTTATAAATTATCATGCTGATTTCAACTATCCTGTTTAGGTGATGACTAGGTATATATCAAATCCAGACAACTTGAAACTCATGATGAACATGTTAAAAGAAAAGTCTCGAAACATCCAATTTGAAGCCTTCCATGTTTTTAAGGTACAGTTCAGTTTTGTCTTGAATTGTATAGTTTATAGTGTTGCAGTAAACAGGTAATAAATATTTTGCATTTTTTTTAGGTTTTTGTAGCAAATCCAAACAAACCAAAACCTATTTTGGAAATTCTACTCCGCAACCAAGACAAGTTGGTGGAATTCCTTACACGCTTCCATACAGACCGTTCAGAGGATGAACAGTTTAATGATGAAAAAGCATATCTCATCAAGCAAATAAAAGAACTGAAACCCTTGCCTGATCACTAAGTGCAGAAGGTAAGGTTTGAAGCAAAATTTAACCAATCTACTGTTCACTTAAAAAATTATGAAGATCATCCATCAAACACCTTTTACTTTTTCAGCACTGCCCAACCTCACATTCTTATGTAAAATTTCATCACCAGCATTTTGCACACTTGTGAGTGAAGAAGAAACTGCTTGAGAGGCATTGTAACTTTTCCTTCTTTTAATTTTGAGGTATGCACTCTGAACTGTTAATGTGATTGGGCATTGAGTTGAAAACATTGCCCTAAACCAAATTTTACTATTACAGTGTAAAAGAGTTGTATCGAGTTGTTTTGTAGTGCAAATTAGTTTGAGTATCAGGGTGTTTTCCGATTTTTAACGTTGGTGGGAAGCAAGGATATCTGCAAGGCTATTATGCCCTCTCTTATTCAGTTTTCTTGATACTTCAAGTAATTCTCATTGAGTGCATTGTTTTCCAGAGGTAACCTTGCTCCTCACATTCTTCAGCCAATGAACTTTCTGTCAGCACACTTTAATTAATAGGCAGTAACAGTATTCTCATGGTTTTTGTGAAAATTTGACCAATATTTTTTATCATCAGTTGATTGTGGCGCAATGACTCATATTTTAATTCCAGTAATTCAACTGAATTTCTCCAAGGTAAATGTAGACATTGTTCGTAAAACTAGCTTTTTGGACATTTCTTATAGCAGGATAGCTTGCTCCAGATTTTATGAAGCAATACTACAGTTCTTGGATTATCTGACAATAATCTGTCTGTGACCTACTTCTCTTTTATGAACTTACCTGGAACTTAAAACACCCTGAAGTTCAAAAAGACCACAGGAACTTCATCTAATTTCAAGCACTCCAAACGTGCATTTTGATCCATCATGTTATTTGCTTTGAAGTTAGTTCTTGATCTAGTGGACTGAAGTTTCTCACCTGGCGCAGGCGCTGATAAGGTATCTTTGCACCTATCAAGGTATTTAACAGTTTAACTATCCAACTATCTTCACAAGGGAGCTGAGGGCAATTTAACTGTGAAAAAGTTGCTTTCCAGGAAATTTTTGGGTCTGTTTTGTCCGTGTCTAGGAATCACTGGAATCACTTGTTGGGAAAGTGTAAAAATCTTTTTGTGGTTTGTTTAGAAATGTGGTATGAATGTGTAATAATGGTCAGGGATGGACTGCATGACCTAGTACACCTGAATTTGTTATATAAGAAGCAAGTTTATGAGTATGCAATAGACCCTCAAACCACTTTCAAAACTTGTTCAACTTTTGACTTTAAGAAATACTTCCTACCATGTTAAAAGTCGCACTTTGGTCTAATATGTTCCTTATCAGAAATATTTCGTGCATCATTCTACATGTCGTTAACTTTTGATGCTTTGTCTAATTTATTTCTCAACAAATGTGGGAAATAAATCAGTTTAAATTATTTCATTGGTCATGACATTGTGTGATGTAATTTATGAGGGTTTAGATCAAACCTATGACTAAATCTTATATATTCTGATAGCTATTATCCTTTGGATATGAACTAGTGAAGAAAAAAATGATAAAGCTATTTTCTTAGATGTTACTGTCCTAGAATAAGAGAGCTGCAGACTACATGCTCTTGGTGCCTTCCATGGCCGTGGCCCAAACTCTGCATTGGATTTTAATGTGTCTGTCCAAACATTTAAATTTCAAAATTACCTAAACAACTTCATTGCTTTTCTGTATGGAGCCAACTTTTATGTTCAACAGGATATCAAGGTCACTTTTATCATATTTTCTTAACATTGTGATCAATTTATATAATATAGTATTTTTCAGTCATACCTGTTCTTGTTTATCTTGTGTCCTTTCAAGGTCTAGACCAGCTACTCTAGCATGTTTTATCTTTGATTTGTTTCCCCTTTTCTTTTCCCTTTTATAAGTAAGTCAGGGTTGTTACTTGTTAAAATGCCGTAGCTGTAGCAACACTGAATACTTCTAGTGAGAGAGTTAGATGAGCTTTAAGAGGTTATTGTAACCCATTTTATTGTTAGATCCCTTTCATTCATACACATCTTTCTTGTGATTGATTGTTATGTTATGAACAGAGAAGACCATATATCGTAGTGATGTTAATGCAGCATCCTGTAGACTGGATTGAATGTTTTGTGATACTGTAACTTGACTGCAAACTACTTTTTGTACAGAGCTGAAGTAAATCAAGCCGTGCTGAACTCATTTTGAACTTTCAACCTGTACGTTTTGGTTTGACTATTGCAGGTCTCTATTTTGGAAAGATTACCATAGCTCTGATTAAAATCGAAAGTCAAAGAAGTATTGAAGTGTAGCTTACGATATATGTGTGAACTAGTAAATTTGAAAAATCTACATTGTGTCATGTTTTTTGGCTTGTTAAAAAAAAAAGAAAAGCAAAAAAAGAATTTAAAGTTATGACTCAGTTGTCTTTCACTTCTACGTAGGCCTTTCAATATTACAATTAAATCCTTATTACAGGTTCAATTACTTTTGTTTTCATAATCAACCATTGTATGATAATGATTATCAAACAGGCTCAAGTGTAAGATTCAGCACTGCATGTGGAGCTAGACTGCATTGCTTGTTTTAATCTGTAAATACTGTTATAATTTTTTTTTTATTTTAACTGTATAATGTATGTATAAAACAAATTAATTTTGACAGTGAATGAACTTTATTCACCCACAAAATATCTACCTGCATCTCAGAAATTTTTAACTTTCTGTTCTGCACATCTAAATAACAATTAATTACCTTGAGATCTTCGAATTGAGATGGGCTAAAAAGTAAGCCCCATCTCCCTTTGTTGCTTTTCTATTGATTTCTCGGTGACGATCTCTAGTTACAATTTCTTCAAGTACTTCACCCTCACCTTTTATCAATCTAGCGGACAGAACACAATTACAACCAACCTTATTTGACAAAGGATAGAAACTAAGTTGCTGAATACATACCTATGTCTTCCAGTCTCTTCATCATACACCTTCCGGATGACTTGCTGTCGCTTGTCCCATTCTTCTTTGGTCATAGGCTTCATAGCCATTGCTCGGTCGGACAATTCTGGAATTGGGGGTCCAGGTGCAGGGCCCAATGGTGGGGCAGAGATTGTAGGAATGGCCACAGCCGGCACAGCTACCTTCACTTCATTCTTTTTAGCTAACTTCTTAGCTTTTTTGGCAGCTTTCTTCAACTTTTTCTTTTCTTTCTTTAATTCTTTTTTCTTTTTCTTCTTCAGCCTTTTCTTTTCCTTCTTAATTTTCTTTTGTTCTTTCCTCTTCTTTCTCTTCTGGTCATCAGAATCAGATGAAGATGATGAACTGCTACTGTCATCTCTCTTTCTACTCTTCTGGTTTGGGTTGTCCTTTAGTTTATGGCAATGTTCAAAATCATATTTTCGGCTCGTGCTGGAAGTTGCTCTGTCATGTTTGCTACGACTTCTATCTCTGCTCCGTTTACTTCTTTGACAACTGTCACTTGATGATGAGGAAGAACTGCTAGAAGAACTAGACTCGGAGTCACTGGAGGAAGGAGAGTGAGATCTTTTCTTTGACATCTCAGAGTGTAACTGCAAAAAACAAGAATGCAACTAATTACAGATGAAAGAAAGAAAAGGATAGAGACCAGAAGAAGCCCTGAAAATTACATCTCACCTACGAACTGAATTCAGTCTCCGTTATTATGATAATGAGGGGTTAAATGCTGTCAATCCAGAGGTCAGTTTTCGGCGGTGAGGCACTTGGGTGCCTTGGCCCATGTAAACATGAGGTAAAGGTTAGGTATCCAAAATATATTGACGATAAATTTCAGGGTCCTCGCGGACCACATGCAAATACTGAAAGGTCACTTTTTTTAGGACAACTGAGTTAAATATAAAGAACGTCAACAGTTGTGGTGTCAAGAGACTTATATGTCTTTTCAAGAGACTGACAGGAAGCAAAATGGAGATCTTAGGGGAGATGGAGTAGGAGAGGGGGAGGGTGAGGGGTGGCTAGGATGCGGGGCGGGGCGGGGAGACCGAGATCAGCCTGGCTAGAGGCAGGTTTGTTTTTGGATTCGTGTAATGAAAAGACGCGAAATTCTTGCTTGACGAGTTTGATGCAAGATTTTGTCATCGGAACCAAGGTATGCTTGGGTTTAAGAAAAGACTGGTAGACTATAGCTTGCCTCGATTTAGACGGTCTGTTTTCCCTTGTTCCTTGATCTATACTTAGTACTGAACTCCCTATTTTTCCACTTTCAATCAAATAATTTGTAGTCACGTCCTAATTCCTTTCAGGAAGCTTACATTGTTAGGCAAGGGTCCATAGTTTCTTTTCGTATTGTGTAGTTCAGCTACTACAATGTTCTAAAATAGATGAATTTTAAGGACTACCTCACATAACCTCAAACAGTCTACAACTGGGCTTTTCAACCCCCTAGGATAGCTTTCTATCACTCCATAGACAATATGTTTTAACCTAATCGTATGTCCTCACCTAGAGAATTTGAATATAATGATAAAATTCCCCTCGAAAACACCTGTCTTCTGTCTTCCAACTTGATGTAGTTGTAAGCTAAGTGTTTACAGATAAATTTGGAATGTTTGTCCTTACTTCAAGCTATTCTTGTTTCAGGTGGCTTGAGCCACCATGGTGGAGCCACATGTATTAGCTCGTGCAGAGGAGCTTTCACTACAGATCGACCATCTACATGTCAACTATCTCCAAGCAGATGAAAGTCCGCACAAAATTGAGCAGAGAACAAAACTGGAAAGTAAGATTTCATATGTGATTTTTTTCGCTCTTCAGTTTTGTTTAATTAAATATTTTATGTTCCAAATTAATTTTTGCATCCCTTTTACTTCTTTGGTTAGATTTCATCAGGAAGTATCTATGTTTGGTTGCACATGGGCGCAAGTTCATATTTCATGAGACTGCCGAAATCCTACGATGCAGTGTAGAAATGAAGAACAATTTCAGTGCCTACAGAGCCTCCACTGCTTGGAATGCAATAGCTAGGTATGCAGCAAATTTAGTTGCTCAACCTTGGAGGAAGGAATTCAGAGTTGTTAAGGTATTTAATCTGTTTCAATTTTAGACTGAACACTTTATCATTTTTTTGAACAATATGTTTTTATCCATCTAATCTCCTTTATTATTGCAGACATTTTCAGGGTTTTACATGCATGATATTGAGGAAAATCTTGTTGGTGCTGACCGCTTGCTTGATTGCATGGGGTACAAGAGAGCAGATCACTCATCCTTGGTTCTTGAACTGCCCATTGATTTGGATGCTGTAATTAGTGTTTCAAGAGACGCTATCGTTGCATTTGTTGAATGCCAGGTTTGTTGCCAACAATGTCAGCTATCAGCTTTGTAAATATTTTCTTGGTTGTTACACTTAAGAAATATGTTTCTTTCATTGCAGATGATGAAGGAAATTTGGGAAGGTGTTTATCCTCAATTTGAATGCAGTTGGCTGGAAATCATGAATTTCCGAGAGTGTCACATAGGATCCCCAGAAATGGCCATTAAAAACTTGACAGTTTTTTACCATCAAAGTTGTTTCCATCAACAGCAGATGTTAGCTTCAGGAATTTCTCATGATCCTTATGCTTCTGTAAGTAACTACTTATCACTTTTTTTTGTACCACAGATGCATCAAATTTTGAAAAGAAATGATGCATAGCTTATACTACAATTTGAATGTATTTCCACAGACTCCTCGGTTTCATCAAGCACCTCAATCAAGTTGTTTGTACGGCCAGACTTTATCTCCTCAAATGAGTGTGCCTTATTATGGGTATTCATCATATGGATCTTGCCCTGTGCCCCCACAGTCAAGATATGCTTGTGTTGTTAACCCACAGCAGATGATGAGTTATCCACTTTCACCAGGAAGTTATCACAATGTCAAATCTCCTGTGCAACTTTTGCCATCTAACGGATACCATTACTCTCATCCTCATCCAATGTTACCTGTACCGACTGGCCACAATGGTTATACTATACCCCAGCCTGCTGCTGCCATGCAGCAAAATTACAACTGTGTAGTCCCTACTGGGCAGCTAATTGAATTAGATAGTAGCTCTTCTGCTCCATCATCTCGACCACCACGTATGTCTGTGGAAGATATAAAAATGACAGAAACAAGGAATGGAAATGGTGCTGCCCCAGGAGATCGAGTTAACCACGCGGCCAACCTTTACTCGGATGTAAGCCCCTCGAAACGGGAATCCCCCACCTCAGCCCGATCTGAAGGGAAATCGATGAGACCTAATACATTAGATGATTTGAAGCCAAGAAGAAATGGTATGCACCTTGACCATGTGGGTTCTTCAACTGCCGATGATAGCTACTCTCATTTAGACAAGAATGTTGTTGGCAAGCAAATGCAAAGACTCGGTGCAAGGAAATCTGGGTCACATGCTGCACCTATGCAAGATGGGACTGGTACTTGGGAGAGCTGGGATTACGTTTATCGCAATCTCGAAAGCCAAGGATATAATAAAGATGTTGGAGAGCGTGGAGATATTCTTCATAGTTCAACATTTCCTCGAAGGGGTAGCATTGGGAGTGCTGGCAGTTCCCCAAATGTTAATAATACTATTGCTCGCAATAGGTAAATAAATTGATTATTTACTTACTTAATTATTCTCAACGATTGTACTAATTTGATTGAAAAACGGTTATTTACAGTCGCAATGTACGAGAAGCTGAAGTTTCAGCAGCCATGAATAAACCGTCTCAACTCAGTGATGGGATTCAGTCAATGCGGTTAAATTGTGACGACTCCATTAATGGAAGAGGAGTAGATGCTGTTGATTCAAGGTTTGTCAACTCATGTATCTTTGGTTTCATTATTGGCATAAACATGTTATTAACTAAATAAACTATGCTTCTACAGGGTTGGGATTCGAGACCTAAAGACAAGTCACATAAAAGAGAAAACTGGGACCAAGAGCTCAAGTGCACCGATCAAACCTGTTACAAGAGATGAAAGAAGAGACATTGATGCTTCATCTTTGTTGTCGAAGAAAAGCAGAGACCCGAATGCTCAAGATGGTTCTAAGAATATCTGGGAGTGTGTTTATTGTACATACCATAACAAAGCTGAAAGATTTGTCTGTGACATGTGTGGAAAATCGCACAAGCCCGGTAATGAAGATAAACCTCTTATAAGTGGGGGCCGAGAATGTCCCAAGTGTACTTTAGTCAATGCGCGGGGTGTCGTATCTTGTGCAGCTTGTGGTGAAAGCTTGAAGAACTCTCCTACCTACATCTAAACAGTTAAATACTCACCTCTCTTTACTATGAGATTGTCTTGCCTGTTGATGTGTGTTTTCTTTTCTCATTCTATTTAACTTGTGAAAATGGGAGAGCTTGAAAGCAAGGGTTAAAGTCGAGCTTATATTCTCTCAAGCTAAACTTCATGAATGGTGTGCGCACCAAATGCTTCTCTTTAACATGACTGTCACTTCTGAGTGTGTTTTTACTGTAGGGTTTGTGTTGAATGAATGCAGAAAATTACCTTTAGTGTTTGTTATACATCATACTGAAAATAAGAGCTTCAAATTATGGTAGTCTATACTAACAAGCTTTTTCTGCACTTGAATGTTAAGTTTGGGAAACTTTGATATCAGCTGTGAACATATGATATGGTACTTTTGCATGTACATAAGATATTTTGTAATTACATATATAGCTTTGTTAAAATCACTCCATTTTTTTTCTCCATTTTAGAAATTTTATCATTATCATACAGTTTATTTTTTAAAAATCAATCCATGGAAGATTTTCTGTAGTTCATGGCATTATATATCCTATATCCAGACATGGTATTTTTGTTAGGTTTTTAATAGTCTTCTCTGTATATATGTAATCTAAGGATTGTTAGGAAAGATTGATGTGATATGTATTTATTCAAATTCAGAGATTATTGTTATATCCATCAGGAACTCTATGTTGGGTACACCTTCTTTTTGCTCAAGTACATAATGTCTATGATTGAATTGCCCATGTTCCTGAATAGCATCACATCTTCTGTGCAGCTTTGATTGAAGTGCAGTTGATTGGCCAGCACTGTGTATTCAGTCATTTTGTGGGCCTAATAATCATAAGTTTACCGTTTTGCTGGAAAGTTATTTTTGAATGTTATCTCAGCAACCCACACAGATGGAAGAAAGTTTCCCATTAAATCTTGAAAGGGATGGATTTTATAATAATTTCCTGGCACAGTTTAAGAAAAAAGATTTACTTGGGACATGTTTCATGTCACCTTCATCTCTCATCAGTCCCCTATCACACTGGTAACTTTGTTCGCAGTTGGTGCAAATGTTTTAAGCAGGTGTCTTGTGTCTTTGTTGCTTTGTCACCCAGTGTAAACTTAATTTTTAATGCTTTGACAAAATGTTACTCAATTTAAATAACCGTTAACAGTAATCATTGCTTTTAGCTGGTATAACATTGTTATACCTGGTTATACCTATCAACTATCACAAGAGATATACATTCACATTTTCCCTCACGGTCACCTCAGTTGATTTGTTTTGTCTCTTTTGTGTGGTTTGTGGAAAACATGGTACATTTATTTATTTTGAATCTTTGTCTTCCCTTGATTTAATGTTTAATCCCTTACTGCATTGGTTTTGTAGTTTCACAAGACTTGTCATACCTAACTTGTTTTATTGTGCTCTATTCATGGGATTCTTAATTAAGTAGAGGCCTCAAATACCAATATTCAATTAAGATTATCTGTTTCACCAAATGAGCTGTTAAATAAATATAGGAAAATGATACCTGTCTCTAGGATATGCAAGAAATACTGTACCACTTTGTATTTGACATAAGAGCTTGACAGCTTAGGAGACCCACTATATTTCAAGAGTTGCCTTTACAGTGTGTGTACAAGTCACTTTCATTTCATTAGGCATGCACAAATTTACAAAGTGGCTGTCGTGTTTTCGTTTTTTTAAATTTATATGACCAGTGAATTTTCTGTTTTATGGTACTACCAATTGCTTTACTATCGACTTGACTAAAACATTAACTTGTTAAGATTTTTGATCCCTGTGTGAATTTATTGTACCATAGGTCTAAAGCTGTGATATTGGATTTTGTGTAAGTACTGTAATAGTTTTGAGGAACAAAGAAATTTTAGAAGCCAAATAAGTGAGTTCTATCTATGGATTCACAGGGTCTAGTGGAAAAATCTTATTGCTCTCCAAACAGTTTGAAATGTCATTCATTACCTTGATGAAAACTATGCTTCTTACTGTCTTACTTCTGTTCATTCAGGGGTCAGTTCTAGTATTTTTGAAATGCTTTTCTCACCTGAATTGTCGTTGGGCCTCTTATGCAACATCATTTTTCCATTAATTATTAACTGTTTGGTCATTCATAATGTGTGCATCCTGCTTAGCTTGCATGTGACCATTACCTACATGTCCTGTGGGGAGATGAATTTTTCCACAACCATGGCATGGTTTGTAATGCATTGTGAACTTCAGTACATTTTCTTTCAAATCCCTTCTCCTCGCCATTTAATGACATAAAACTGTGAAGGTGTTGCATATATCTTATATTTTTAAATCTGCAAGTATGCAAACACCAGGAATCTATTTGTATAGAAAAGATCTGTAATATTTCTTGGTATAATTCTCATTCCTCTTAAAAATTCTATTACTGTGTTGAAACTTAAATAAATTTATGAAGTTTTGTTGCTGGAAACTTAATTTTTGTCTTTCATTCTTCCTGACCCTCAAATTTTCAAAGGGTAAACCCACATTGAACGCTGAGCATAAAGTAATCTTCAGTGAGACCGTCTGTTTCTTAGACTAACACCAATGTTGCACAAAAATTTAAGACAAATCGGAGGTAGCCCGCATTCGAGTGTGTTGTGCTGGAGCACTCCTTCAAGACTCCTGACACTATTTCGAGGCCATTTGGGCCCTAAACGGCCTTTGTCTGGTGAAAAACTGGAATCGTCGACCACGCACCGCCTAGGTAGGCAACCCAACGCCACATTCAAAGTGAAAACTGCGACCCTCATCACGTCACAGCTTACAACCCGCCGACAGCGCTCCAAGGCTGGTCGAAGCGCCCGCGGAATCAGGCGTAGGCAACCCGCTCAACCGCAACGCGTTGAGTCTGTAGGGTTGCCTAACGTGACCATTACCATTAAGGGCCAGACCACACATGATCGTATGCCGGCGTTTGATGGCCATGAATAGGAAACGGGAACAAAATAATGACACCAAATTTGTGGTACAACTGTATTTGAACATTTGCATTTTTGTACATAAAACTGTTCGTAATGTGCTAATATTAAGATAACATTGCAGAGCTGGACAGATCCAATAATCTTCGATGGTCCTAAACTTAAAGTTATGTTTTGATTTCTTACTTTCTCTTTTAAGTGGCATATTTATAGTGGTGAAAATTTATTTCCTTTCTAATTTGTTAGTGTTACCAACATTTTGACAAGCTGTCACGGTATATGATTTTCAATTTACATTCAATGGATGTTGAAAAAGTCACAGGTGTTTTTAAATTGTTTCTGATCTTCTTGACTATCATTAGAAGCGAGTCGCTGAAAAATTAGCTTGATAAAGACTGATCAGTAGTAGTGCCCATAAGATATCTTAAGCATAAACTCAAAATAAAAATGATAAAAACCCAGAATTTTCATTCAGACACCCACCCACCCATCCACCCACACGCACACAGTCACAAACATCTAGCTATTTACACACAGCACGCTTTCATTCCGACAATAGAAAATAATTGTTACATTTTCATTAAATAACCCTTGTTACGAACTTTTAACTGAGCGACAGCCTTATCAGATCCATAGACTTCTTCAACTATTTTTTCTCGACGCCTTCTTTACAATCATTCTGAAGTTCTCCGCCATCCGCCATTATATAAGGAAAGATCGTGGGTGTGCAGGTCTACTCCTGAAGGCAGAATCACGGTGTCATTTCCGAGATCCCTACAGCACCGGAGTTCTTCTCAGCACCATAAGTTTCGGAAAAACTTCTTTCAGGATCCATTTCATGTTCCAAACAACTCGTCAGGTTTAACACGTCCGGGTCAGTTATGAGAACAGCATGGCCCTGCCTTCCCAGATTCGAAACAATGTGTCTGGAATGAATTCATTAAATTGTCAGTGTTCGTTGCACGACGAGATTTGTGATATGACAGCCGCGCAACGTACTGAGAAAGAGTGCAGGTCTCAACTTCGAATCGTTAATTGGATTTGGAACTGGTAAACCTCAACCTTCAGAATGTTGGCACACCTGCCGTACAGCTTTAGTGCCACGAGGGGAGGGATGCACTCCCCATTCACTTCACACCCACTGTGATGTTGGGTCGAAAAGGTCAATGAAGAATCGGGTGTTCATGTTGGTAGCTCTGCAAGGGCTCGGGCCGGGGCAGTGCCCCAAACGCTATAAACGGAACTCACCACCCTAATTTCAAATAAAATTTAAAACAAATTTAACGTAATAGTTGACTAAAGCCATAAACATTCCAATAATAATAAATAATAATAAGCAAATTCAACAGTGAAGGGGGCGTTTCCATACAGGTTTTGCTTTGCTGTACACATCGCCCTGAAAGGTACTGCATTGACCGACCAAATTTATTACGTATCAAAATAATTCCCTTCTTGTCCCTTGTGCCTTTCGTGGCTTCACGTAAGTGAGGCCTCCCGTATACCACCTTAACAAACAAGAAAAAAACTCCACCGAGAGAAAAGTAGAGCTTAAAGCGTTAATTCTGCGCTACACGGAACGCAACCTCAGGGTCCGTCCATAAATACTACGCCCGCTTTTCAGGGCGAGGGTTGTGGGCATGTTAGGGCACGTGGGAGAGGGAGGTTCAGAGTGAGCCAGCAGCAGCGTTCCACAGACGGATGCAATACTTGACCTATGATACAGGAAGAACAGTTTCCCTGTGAGTCCTGCCAGCAGTTTTCTTTCGCCCACACTCACAGCTCCCCCGACCCGAATTACTAAAGGAATGAGCGAGAATGCGTGGAAAGCAAAGACTAAACGAAAAGAAGCAGTGTGGGAATAAAACGCATCCCCACATCACTTTGTTCTATGATAGTCCGCCCCGTAATCATTTTACAATCATTTTACAGAAATTTAATACAAAAAGAATGATGAGGAACGATATATAAACCGTTTAAATTACGTAAACATACAGCTGTTTGAATGCCCCTTTTTGTACAACAATCTCACCAACAGCTTACACGAGAAAACCGCGAGAAAAGACATTAACTATTATATTTACATGCCCTGCTCGTCACAGGACTCTTTCTCACTCCGTTCACTCACTGGCTCTCTTTCTATCTCTCCTTCTCACACTCTCTTTTTCAGTCACACACACAAGCACACAAACGCACACACACTCTCACACATGTTCCAGCTGTTCTAATCGCACGCTGCCAATCCAAGGCAAATGCCTCAAGAGGCCTCATGCCTCATCACAGCACACCGAACAAATCAAAAAATCCAAGAAATAAAAAAAAGGGTAAAACACGACCACCTTGAAACGCAGCCAGGCCAAATCACATTTCGTTCATCACGTGTCCGTGTCACATGGTCATCACAGTAAATCGCAGTTCCACCGGCCTCGCGCGCCTCGCACGCTGAGGGCCAACACCGGGCGGTGCACTCGGAAGAGGTCGGCGTCGGGTCAGAGGCCGTGCTGACACGGAGACCTCGCTGACGCCGAGGCCTTGCTGGCCGCAGCGCTGGAGGCCTTGTAGACACCCCGGTGGTGGCCGTGGCGTTGGCCTCCCCGTTGCTGGCCTCCTCGATGCTGGCCTCCTCGATGCTGGCCCTGGCGCTGGCCCCGCAGGACCGGCCCCTTATCTGCGCACCAGGAGGCCCACGGGCAGCAGCAGCGCCGCGAAGAGCGCGGCCCGCGACGCCTGGGAGCTGTCCGCCGATGAGGTCTTCCTGCGCGATATGGCGGCGATCTTGTCCCCTGCGAACAGCGTCCAGAGCATGAGCCGTGGAAAATAAAAATAAACCGCGGAGACTCGAACCCGAGCAGCGACGCACGGCCGGCGGGGTCTCCGTCTAAGACGATCCCCCCCTAACCTCGCCCTCCCCTTTCCCCCCGGCACTCCGGCAAGTCGCTGGGGGCTGCTCACGTTTTTACAGTGGGCACGGGGAGGACTAGCAGCACCAGGAGGGCCCCGTGGGGACGCACGCGGCCAGCATGCACGCGGCGTGACACCATTTCTTAAAGTCACTTGTTCCCGTCCAGTGGCGTGTTTGTTTGAGTGTGTGTGTGTGAGAGAGAGAGTGTGTGAGTGTGTCTCGCGCGGGGTTTGATGTGGGTCGCAAGATACAGGGTGAAATAAAGTACAGTGGCCGCTGACGGGGACGCCGGCCGACGGGATGACGGCGGCGGGGCGGCGGGGCGGTAACGGGAATACTGTATCTGCCAAGTGGCCGACTTACATAACCGAACCGATACCCAAGTATTGGTTTCCGCAAAGTATCCGGACTTGGTTCTCCTCTGGCAATGGCACGCCCCGCTCCGAGCAGGGATACTTTGGGATACAGGATGTGTGTGTGTGGGGGGAGGGGGGGACGACTTGGAATGACGGGAAGACGCTGGAAAATGGAGTCATGAAATCGTTGCAAAGATTATCCAGAGGAGGGGCCGCGAAAACCATCAAGAAGAACACTATAAATCTTTTTTGCGCTCACCGCCGGTGAGAGGCGACCCTGTTTGCTGTTGTAAGTGAATGCAATGCCACACAGCGCACGCCGGCCTTCCGTGCCCCGCAGTCATAAAACGTTCGTTTCCGATACTTTACACAAATTCCACAAACCAGACCGCCTTCCTTTTTCCAAGCAAATAGTGGCGCGGTAAATCAATGCGCTATCAGCCCCCGCGGGAATTAATCCGCTTAAAAATGCGGCAGGTGTTGTTGCTTTCGTTTTTGTTCTTGCCTTGTTTTTATTTTTTAATTTTTTTTGGTGGCAGGCATCAGTCTGCGGGGGCCAGCCAGGAAACAAATTTTTTAAAAAATATGAGAGCACCACTGAAATATGATCTGCATTAGTTTTTTTTATCCGTGTAATTAAAAAACGGGTCTCCGCCCACGGCGCCCTCCTGTGCGCGTGTGTGGTGAGCCTCTCGGTTGTGCGTATGTGTGTGTGTGTGTGTGCGTGTGTGTGTGATGGGGAAGCCATATGAAAGAACACTAATTCGGGGTCGTCCATTTCCTCGCCGGAAATCACACATTTCGAAAGTGGGTTAATGGGATTCGTGTTTCGTTTCGGAAGTGGGTTGCCCGGGGTGCGGGGGGTGCGGGGGGTCGGGTCACTCAGGGCCGTTTTTATCACGGAACGGACTTGGAATGTCGTGGCGGACTCCACTGCCTCTGTCTCTCTCGCACTCATGGGGGTCTCGTTGCGCGAGAGAGACAGAGCGAGTGAGCCCCCTGGCTGCCACGCGCCTCTAGATTGTGCCGCTCCGGCTTGCCGCCGTCATGTGTGTGTGTGTGAATGTGTAGGTGTGTGTTTGTGTTGTGTGTGCGGCCCTGACCGAATTGCGTGGGTCCGTCCGGATCCGTCATCGGGGACCGCGCGTCGCGCTTGCGGCGCGCTGCGGCGACGCGGTGGAGGCCGATCGGGCCGTGTCTAATTGAGTAGGGATTGCAGACAGAGGAGCCGTGGAGCGGGCTGTGGCGGGCTCTGGGCCGGGCTGGACCGCGCACCCACACTCTGATAGATGCAGCAGCTCGCACCGCAGCGTTCCATTAGGGCGGATTGCTGCACTGTCCGTTCCGCCAAACGGACACACGGGCAGGCCCACGGACAGGCCCACGGACAGGCCGACGGACAGGGAGACAGAGAGACTGACAGACAGGGGCAGGCTGGCTGACAGCGCGGCCGACGCACAGACAGCCGCATCCTCGGTTCCAATACCCGCCGTGGCACACCAGCTGGAACGGCTGCACCGCGCGCCCGGCTCCGCACCGCCTAGCGCAGCGGTTCCCAACCTTTTGCGGTTCGCGACCCCAAATTTGTAGCCAAAACTTTCCGCGACCCCCAGGAAAAATTTCGCGACCCCACGCGACCCCTCCTTTAGCATGCCTTTGTTATGGAGTGCGATTATCTGCCTTAGTTTGGGAGCAGTATTGCCGCAAAGTTGATCAAAACGGTCACAAATGTCTGTAAAAAAATCGTGTTTTGGGCCGACTTTAAGCATCTACTGCGTCTGATCCGAGGCGGTAAATCGTCCTCCTCAAACGGGCAATTGGCCTTTGGACCTTCCTTTTGCATGCCTTTGTTACGGAGTGCGATTATCTGCCTTAGTTTGGGAGCAGTTTTGCCACAAAGTTGATCAAAACACGATTTTTCAGACATTTGTGACCGTTTTGATCAACTTTGCGGCAAAACTGTTCCCAAACTAAGGCACATAATCGCACTCCGTAACAAAGGCATGCTAAGGTAAGGTCTAAAGACCAATTGCCCGTTGACGTAGGACGATTTACCGCCTCGGATCAGACGCAGTGGATGCTTAAAGTCGGCCCAAAACACGATTTTTTTACAGACATTTGTGACCGTTTAGACCAACTTTGCGGCAGTACTGCTTCCAAACTAAGGCAGATAATCACACTCCGTAACAAAGGCATGAAAAAGGAAGGTCCAAAGACCAATTGCCCGTTGAGGGAGGACGATTTACCGCCTCGGATCAGACGCAGTGGATGCTTAAAGTCGGCCCAAAACACGATCTTTTACAGACATTTGTGACCGTTTTGATCAACTTTGCGGCATTTAAGCAGCCAGTGCTCGGCGTGTGGGCCAGCCGGGAAAACACCGCGACCCCAGGCGACCCCAGCCACCTCGCCGCGACCCCTCGAAATTTTTTCGCGACCCCATTTGGGGTCGCGACCCCAAGGTTGTGAACCGCTGGCCTAGCGAAAGAGGAGCCCGCCGCAAGCACACTGATTCCGAGTCTCTCTCGCGCCTCTAGAGGACGTCCTAGAAGTGCGGGAGGGACAGTGCGACGAAAACGATGCTAGGAATCAGTCTGCGGCCCGGCTGCAGCGCTGTCGACGGGGCTGCCTAACAACCCCCACCCCATCCCACGCCACCCCACAATCCCACAACACCCCACCTTACCCCACCCCAACCAAGCCAACCCACACTCACCTTCGGACACGAACACGAAGATGGAGGCGGCCTCGGTGTTGGACGCGGAGCACGTGTAGTTCCCCGAGTCGGCGTCGGACGCGTCCCGGATCGTGAGGCGGCTCTGCGTGCGCGCGCCGGGCTCCGTCTCGACGGTGATGCCGCCGCGCTGCGTGTCGTAGTTGATCATCTTGTCGTTGTGGTACCAGAACACGTACTGCGGCGGCGTGGGGCTCTGCAACGGACCCCAATCGACATTAGCAAAGGACCGCCCGGGAACGGTCCGACCGCTTTTAAAGTAGTTTGCCCCTGGGCCCCAAAAAATAACCAAACCCGACACACCACCAACACTTTTTGAAAAAGAGGGAAACGCCCAAACGGCCGGACCCGGAGTAAAGCAAAAAGGGGGGTCCCAGTGGGGTCTCCCCCCCCCCCCCCAAAGGGGGGGTGGGGCCGGGGGGAGGGTGGGCCGGACGAAACAGCGCGGATGACCGACCGGCCGGTGCCGATGCGGGCCAGAAAGCTGGATAGGGGCGTTAGGGGGGGGGGGGAGGTTTGGCACGACGATGTATTTTTACAGTCGCGGCTCGGGGAGCGGCGCGGCCAGCCTAGAGGCAGCCTGGAGGCCGAAAGGCCCAAAAGCCGAGCCGACTCATCGGCCTCGTCAATAATTCGAGTTGGTAACGACTTGAGTTGAAAACACACAGTCCGCCGCTCGTTGCCCCTCCCACAATTTCATTGGGATTGTCGTAGGCAGTCGGCCTGGGCGGTCTGGACATTCAAGGAGCGGCGCGGACAGTTAATGGAACATAAAAAAGCAACAACACCCGGCGGGCTTTCAACGCCTGCCACGCCCATGTCGACCCATGTCACGGCCGCCACCATTTTCGCAGTTTGAAAATAGTCTGAAAAGTTGGCGAATGCGCGGCTGTATATCAGGGCTCACTCGCCGCCGATGACGATAAAAAAAGTTCGGCTCCACAATAAATACTGTTTTGGCGGTCACCAGCAAATATAAAAAATGTCTATGTTTTGAAATTTGTCCTGAAATTCAACTGAAATTAACAGGATTTGTACACTGAAATTCACAATGATTTCTCCGTTCCGAGCCTCCATCTCTGTCCACGAGATGCGCTTCTTGACCTTCGGCGTGAAGGCGACGCCATCCGTGGTGACGGCATGTGGGAGGGGCCGGGGGCCGGGGGCGGTCTCTCTTTGGGTCGGAGCTGCTCAGCGCTGCCCGCCGGAACCCGCCGCGATGACTGGGGTGGGGGGCTGGGATGGCCTCCATAAGAATTAATCGGCCCACCTTCACGTCTCTCGCGAATTACGGCTGGCCCAGTGAAAGCTAGCCAGGCCCGGCCAGGGGCGGAGGGGAACGGAAGAGGTTTAATAAACCTGCTCGTCCGACTTGGCGGACCTTGGAGCTTCGCAGAGCTTCCCAGAGCTTCACAGAGCTTCACAGAGCTTCACAGAACGCCACTCAGAGAGGAAGTCATGGAAAAAACATGCCCAGACGCTTCCGGGCGCGCAGAATCAGCTGCTTGGTCGGGAAAGCGGGCAAGCGCGGAGTGGGGGTGGGGGGTGAGGGGTGGGGCAGTCTGGACGCCACCACCACGGTCGCCACGGGAGCGCTCTGGACGCACTCCACTGGACGACTGCCATCCATTTTGCAAAGCTTTCACTGCAAAATTTTGCGGTGAAACCGGGTTTTTAATTCTGCGTTCCATCGCACAGCCCTGGGGTGCAATCATCCAGTTATTTCTAACATCACGCCACGTCGATGGATTCCTCGTTTGAAAGACAATCCACCCACATTACTTAAGACATGAGAGCTCAGGACGGGGTCCGCCGTTCGGCCGGCCCACTGTGGGTGGTTCACACACTGGGAAATGACTTTCTTAGGGAGGTCGTGGCCAGAAAGGGAAAGGACTGGGAGGGGACGCATCGGGGTGGGCGTGAAGTGGGTCAGGGGAAGAAAAGTGCGGAAGGAGCGGAGGGTATTTCTCGGATGCAAATGGCAATATTATCATTCCGCAACACGTCCCACTTTAAATTCGTCGCCCATACGAGGCGGGAAGTGACGCAAGCATTCTTATGATAAGGGGTCGCGTGGGGAGAAAATAGGGGGGGGGGGAGAGATCGGCGTTTCCTGGATAGACTGGCGTCACGCAGTCCCCTTTCTTTTTATTTTCCTTCTCCCACGCTCCAGGAGGGAAGTCGCCGTGCACATGTCACGCAAGTAAAGTAAGAGTGGCCGGATGGGAAACCACGATCCATACATGTGCCTACACTTTAAAACTAAAAGTTTTGTCAAAATGAATAAGACGTTAAATGGTAAACGCGTTACGTTTGATATTTTTTTTCGAAAAGGAAATATCAAAGTTTTGTCATTTTGATTTTTTTTTGCTGTGCAAGGCAAGCTTTCTAGAAGTGCTGTCGGGGTGTGTCCCGACGGCCTGCCGATACACTGACCTTCTCGATGATGCAGATGAGGCTGATGGGGCTGTTCCTGTCCACGTGGTGTTCGCCGCCACTGCCCAGGATGAAGGCTTCCGGGACTACGATATGCAAGTTGACGAAGTGAGACATGAGACCCGCTCCGGTGGCCACCTGCGGACAGACAGAGAGAAAGTGGCACAGTGAGACAGGGGCAGCATTCGCGGTGATCAAACCCACTCTTTTACATTTTTCGACGGTTGGACGAACACCTGTCTCTCTCGCACCTATGTAGGACGCCCCCTGAGTGCGAGAGAGACAGAGCGATGGAGGCGAGGGCGTGTTCCACTGCCTTCCAGTCGCATGATGCTCGCAGAGACTAACGAAAAATGAGCGATGAACCCCCTCCCCTCTTTTTTGCCGCTGCCCCGGCTAACTCGGGCAGAGTCCGGCCGGGGTTGCGTGGCCCCTGCAGCCCCTGCCCAGCCATCCTGCAGACTGATTCCGAGAGTCGTCCTCACTCTCGCACTCACGGGGCGTCACGTGTGGGCACGAGAGAGACGGAGCGACGAGAACGACTCTCGGGGTGAGTCTGCTGGCCAGCGTCCAGCGAATGGCGTCCGTCCAGCCCCGGGGCGGGGCACGGCACGGCGCGGCACGGCACGGCACGGCGGGGCGCGGACCGAGGCAGCGGACCTTGGCGGTGGAGGGGGATGCTCAATTTCTAGTCGGAAGACAGGATAAGTGAAAGGAGGAACGAGAAGGAGGCGCGTTGTGCGTGATAATGCGCCAGCAAAAAAAACACACACACATAAAACGGTAACGTTTCCTAAAAAGAAACAAATGCAAATTGCAAAAAAATTAGCTTATTTTGGACTGGAGTTGTGCTTCTCGTTCTTGCCGTGTAGGGGGCAGGCCGGCGGTTGGGGTTCATAAGCCAGGCCTGGGCGGAGGCATGGCGGGGAAGCGCGTCGCCTGGACCGGAAAGGAGCATTCCCATTGGCAATTACCGAACGAAACTCGCAGCAATTGTCTTTATTCCCAGAGACTGCCGGCCATCCGCCCCAAGGAAAACAGAGGCACGCCGTGCGGTCGCGGTCACCCCCCCCCCCTCTCCCGGATAAGACCAGGGCGCCCTAGGACCGCACCACGTTCAAACGTTAGCCGCAATCTCTTTCCCGTAAGCAGCTGCACCACACACGGCCATCATTCGCACAACCAATCTTACTGCTGCGGCACGACCAAAACAAAAAGGCTTCGGCCCAGTTCTGAAAAAATAGCAAGCTTGTGGCTCCCTGAACTGAGCCATAAAGCCACAATTCACACTTTTTGCACCCTTTCTCGTGCACGCCAGAGGCCTGTGCGTGCTCATGCCCCCGACTGATCGTCCTCCGATCGCGCCCGAACCCGATTGTGACAGCAAACTACCCTTGTAAACTACGCGGTGCCGCCCGCCCCTTTCGGCCGGGCCCAGCGAATCCTTTATTGCTTAATCGGCAAAGGCTTATGGTGGGCCCGGATTACCGCCACGCGTGCCCCACCGTGCCCCCGCCCTGCTCTCTGGCACCGCGAGAAAGGACGGTCGGGAAGGTCAGTGACTCGACTGGCCAAATAGTGCGGGACAAGGGAGAAAGCTTTTGGTACAGTGGAGCGGAAAAAACAACGAGTTCTGTCCCAGCGGCCCGGCGCGACAGGCGTGGCCAGGTTAGTCGTTGCCATTGCCTGCCAAAGATTCCCAGTGTGGAACACGAATTGGGAAAGGGCGGAGGAAAACTGGTCCGCGGCACCTCATTTTCGCCGGGCACTTGCCGTATAAAGATGAAAAATGGAGGGCGCGGGCACCGAGGCTAGCGAAGGCTTTCGCAAACAGCGTCTCAAACGAAGAGGGAACGGGTAATCACTTGGAGTGTATTTACCTTGCGTGGCCGCGTTTGCGGTAGGCCCGCGACACACCGCCAGATGAACCCGCACCAGTGGGGACCCGACTACGCAGTGGGCCAGGAGACCAGTGGAGGCGGCCGAAATCCCGGACGCGTTTTGAGCTCCAGAGTCGCTAAACGGAACTCGAACCGAACGTGTGACCCCACCAATGGATTCCTCTCCGTACGAGGATTCCATTGGTGGGGTCACACGTTCGGTTCGAGTCCTGCTCGGTGACTTTCGAGCTCAAAGCGCGCCAAGAGTTCTGGCCGCCTCCACTGGTCTTCTGGCCCACTGTGAGAGGCCATCATCCGACGAGCTCCACGGAGAGCGAGCGAACGACCGTCCTCCTGGCGCTACTTAGCATATTGCGACAGAGTTTCCCAACAAGAAAGAAATTAGCTCCAACAATATAAGATTGATCGGGCCTCTCGCACTCTTCCAGCGCCGAACCGCCCCTTCCCAAGTTCGGCCACGGCGCGTTGCCTGGCACACTGCGCGGCCTGTTGAGGCGTCGACCCATGATCGAGTCATGAGCGGCCAAATTTGGAGCATCACCGTGAGGACGTCACGAGAACGCCGTGAGGACGCCGAGACCCCCGCCTCCCTGGGCCTCCAATTACGGCTGTAGTTAGTTGGCCGTTAACCCCCCGACAACCTCAGACACGGCCAAAACGGCCGGCCGACAGAAACCAACGGTTTACCGAGAATTCCAACATCCCCATGACGCACAACATGGACAAAGTTGGCACCTTTTTCTGTGCTTTTGGTCCCTCATCAGCACATTTCACTTTTTTTCGCTTTTTTTCGAATGGACCCGCAGCGGCCCGATTCGGTCCGGTTTCGGACGATTCGCCCACCACCACTTTTTCCTTGGCGCGCGAGGGAGACGGACGTCCGCGCAGAGAGAGCGAGAGGCGGAGCGGCAGAAGAAGAAAAGAGAGAGAGAGAGAGCGGGCCGCCAAGAGCGCTGCTTGCGTGGGTGTCGATGTCGGCTGACCGAGGCCCTAACTTGAGACCGACCATCCTCCCCTCCCTCCCCTCCCGCATCCGGAGCGCCCAGCCCAACATTCTGCGGAGGGGCCGGCCATCCGGAGCAGCAGCGCCACGGCGAGGAGGCCAAGGAGGCCAAGGAGGCCATGGGGCAGCCTGGCCTTAGCCTGGCCGCCCCGCCGTATCGGAGCTAATTTCCTTGGTCCGCCTGGCTGCTGCACCGGCTGCAGCCGGGCCGCCGGCCCTGCAGTTCCCAACCAAGCTCTCTGTCCCTCTCGCACTCACGGGGCGCCGTGCGCCGCGACGCACCCCGGCCCCATCGCACTGCCACGCCACTGCCATCGCAGTGCTCGAGTCAGCTCGTTTTCGAATCGAGGAATCGAAGCGAGACTCGGCGGGGCAGGCTGCCTCCACAGATGTACGGGCGCTCAGCACACCCCATCCCACCACGCGCCGAAAAAACGCCGCGTCTCCCCACCAGTCAAATGGGATTGGTCCAAATCGTTGGCGCACAACAGAGACTCCGACACGTACACGTCTGGAAATGTCTGATGTGGAGTTTCAACGCGTGGAGGTAAATGACCACCATACAGACTGCAACTGCCTCGAGAGCATCGTGATTGCACTTCTATCTCGGTCCAAACTTTTCAAGAGTCAAAAGTGTCTCTTTCAGTGCGTGCGTTTGAAGAGAGCGCCTCAGGGAGTGACCGCTAAGCGAAGCCCTGCCCCTCCGAGAGCCGCGGCGCCGCAGCAAGTGGGGCTGCAAGTGGGGCACCGCGGGTAACTCGATCGCGGTCGTTACGTCTTTCGACCAAACGTCACGAAGGGGCGGCGGGCGCGAACGCCTGGCCCAAGGGCCGAGGGGCCAAAGGCGGTCAAAGGCGGTCAAAGGGCCACGCCGGCCAACGGATAACTTTCTTTCTCTCCACTTAACTCTGTTGCCGCCCTCGACCGCCAGAGCGCGCGCGGTGTCGACATCCGAAACCTCACACGGAGTGGCGCAGCCCTTGCAACACGCTCTCTCTCAGTGTGTGTGTGTGTGTGTGTGTGTGTGTGTGTGTGTGTTGCGCGAGGAAAACACGCAGCCAGCCAGTCTCCCGGGGCATCGAGACACCGGGCCTGGCCGGCGGGGCCCTGCTGGGCTAGCCTGCTGGGAAATGAAGCACTTCCCGCCCGAGTGTAGTTACACTGTAGTTACATGCGCACACACACCGGTGGTCGGTCTCGGGAGCTCCAGCGCGCTGATTCCGGACCTCTCTGTCTCTCTCGCACCGCAGCGGAACGGCCCTCGAGTGCGAGAGAGACGGAGCGACGCAAACACACCGTGCGGTGGCGGCCTGGCGGGTCACTCCACATCCGGCCGCGCGCCGCCAACTTGGTCAAACGCAAACGAGAATCGAACGCTGTATCGGCGGTGCACCGCGGACTCCTTCTCCTTCTTCTTCTCCCGCGCGGCCAAGGCACGACGAGGAAAGAATATGGAACAAAAGGAGGAAAAAAAGGGAGCGACACACACAAGCGCGGCAGTTCAGTGGCCACTGAGGACATTTTAACTTTGGCCATCCCGCTTCGCCCTGCGCCTCGCTCCTCTCTCTCTCTCTCTCTCTCTCTCTCTCTCTCTCTCTCTCTCTCTCTCTCTCTCTCTCTCTCTCTCTCTCTGTCTCTCTCTCGTTCTCTGCCCTAACGTCCTTTCTCGCACTTGCCGACAATAAAGGTCGTGGCCTGGCCGCATAAACTTTGTTTAAGGGGGTCCGGCCGCTTAGGTCCGCGCTGCCCCCCCCGTTTCCATCCCCGTTTTGGGCCTCTAATTTATTTCCCATTCCCGGCCCGCTTCCCGTCTGCCCACACCGTATTATGTTTTAATTCCTCGGTTTTCATTACCGCCACGACACGACACCGTTATCATTGTTTGATTCAAACTACGGACAGTGTGGTGGCTGAAACGGGGATGCTAGTGGCGTGGTCTACTGAACGGCACACCCCCCACACTCGCGCCAACACACACACACACACACAATCAAAGCAAGCACGCACACTGTGGCCTGAGGAGACTTCCTTTTTCATTCAACTCGCCAGCAACTAACTTACTGGCCGAAATGCAGACGTGGCCAGCCCAAAACACGATTCGGTCTGCCTCTTTCTTCTATTTATGGGGTGTTGGGGTCGGCTCACCGCATCCGGGACAGGGCGGTGGGGAAAGGGGGGAGGGGAGGGGCGAATCTGGGGCGCTTACCCCGTCTCGCCTCCCCCTCCTCCAAAAT